TTGAGAGACATTGTTTCACCATTTGTAAATGAATCACATTTTTCCAAGGACTGACAGTGCCAGTTGGGTCCCACAAATAGATCATGTTACACCGGTAAAAACAGTTTATTCAGCACTTATGGTTCAAATAACCATAGCCATGAAACCATAAAATTATTTGTGACAAGTGTTGGGCACCAGCAACTAAGATATACAAGTCAAAACTAACCCCCTTAAGGACTGGGTTACGTACACAAATCTGTCATAGGATGCCAATTAATATGGACTAACAGACTTGGAATAATATTTTACAGCTACTAGTCAGTGATTTATTCATGTAAGAGTTAGACATAAAGATTATTATCTGTTCAAGTAAACAAATAGGTAACTACTGAAGGATTCAGTATAATTGCTGGTATTATACCGCCGTTGATTGGACCGAATTGATCGGTCTTTATTAGCATATGGGCTGCTGTGCGGATGCCTCCATAATGCCACGATAGCTAGGTGGTCTAGTGGATAACGCTGTGGCGTTTGAAGCGATCGCCCCCGAGTCCGAATCCCGGTGGGAACAACATCACTCACTGGGAGGCAGGTACATCCAACTGACAAGTCCTAAGTAGGACGAAATGCACACCCTGCATTCCACTGTTAACCACTATCCATCACCACTAAAGAATTCGTCTACATATTAGTCAAGGTGCCCTAGGAATAATGTATAGTAAAACATGAGATTGTGTTCTTCAGCGTGGTAAATCTGTATTGACGGATTTTGGTCAATAGCATTTACATTTATAACATGAAACTGTTCACCCTCTGGTAATTAAGTAGTGAACATTATTGGAAAGAACAAAAAAAACAAAACAGGTTCTATCTACGTCCTATTACTGTACACGATTCTGATGAAGCTATCATCACTGCACTAACATTGAAATTACACAATCTAGTAATTTTAGATTTTAAAGTGGAACGTCGAATTTCAATCATCTTTGGAAGAAAAAGAAAAATAGTTTCATTTCACTTTTATATTTCACCAACACAGGGACTATACGGTTACAAAACTCAGTGTCACCAAAGCATAAGGTGCACAAACTATGAGATAGCTGCCAAAATTAATTAAACGTTTTCACCTCAAGTAATAAAATAATGGAGTGTGGAGAAATGAGACTAAACATTGTCTTGAAAGCTGTTGCTATACCATACACTACACGAAGTAACGATGCCGTTATAAATTAGAAGAGGCTAAATTATTTTAATAAGGTGAAGTTAGTATTTATAAAAGTAAACCAATGCCGTATTCCGTGGTGTCACCATATGAGTAATGCAGACGTTAGGTATAGAGTTTTAGGGAGTAGAGGGAAATCAGTTGACGAGGTTATAAACCTTTATCGACTGAGATGGTTGGCTGGGACATGTGTTACGTATGCCTAGTCGCCGATTGCCTCGTCACACAATGTTGGTCGAAGTAGGTCCAGGCTGGAAAAAGGCCCGAGGTGGCCAGACGAAAACATGGCACCAATGTATGAAGTCTTTGACTGTTGGTTTCAGTCATGTGGGGTGATGCAGACTAGCCAGTTGGGGTCCGCGAGACAAGAGGAACCAGTGGTTGGAGACTTTAGGTGATATGGCTGAGAACCGAAGTCAGTGGCGCAGATGTATACATACATTATCGTCCTCTTAACAACGCTATACCGAATCTCACCACTTTCTCATTCTTCCTTTCTCTCTTTTCGTAATTTGTATTTCTTTCGACTGAATTTTATTATCTTCATCTTGCACTTCACTGCCTTTTTACATGATGTATTGATATGAGGTGTGGCAACTCGGACCGTTACGCAGTAATGCCTGGTCCTATGTTGATATCGATGATGATGATGATGATGAATACTGGTGTTTCGGGGAGTTTCATGTAGAGTGGAGTTGTAAAAAATGACTACCGATCATAAACGCTTACATCTAAGGGAAAAGACTGAAATTAAACGCATAAGCACTATGCATGATGTCAGTGATTGGAAAACTTGACGAAAAAATGAGTATGATGAAAATCGTTTTTGTTCGATCATGATGATGATATGTATTACAAATGCATATACCGCGAATAAGAGCAGCTAGTCACCTCATAAACAATTTTGCTTATTCGCCGATAATTTGATCAGAACGCTTATGTCTCTTTCTACGTTGCCTATCTTCTACGTGTTTTGGTGAAGGTACACTGTCCATGAAAGGCTAACATAAAAAAACATCAATCCTTTCTCACTGTCTCAATGTGAACAGATTCTACTCGTACTCAATCTCAATGAAGGAGAAAGAGGAGTAGCGCAAACAAGTTGAAAAATATATTAGTTCGTTAGGGTTAAAGATGTAACAGTAAAGCATTATTTGGGATTAGCTGTGGAATGATTATCACGGTGTGAACATCGAAATAATTGAATACGGTCCTTATACAAGTCGTCCGACTTCAAATACTCGAACATTTACAGACCACTGATGCCTGTTCGATGATATATGTTGAAACGATTCACAAATCGGTGTTAGATGGCAGGAGGTTATCTACAGGAAACCTTGAAGCCTAGCTTTCACACTTGTTGCGACCCGGCAGCAAGGCGTATCTGCAACCTCAATGGAACTCGACCCACCACCCCCTAAGATTCGAACTCACGTCAGTCAGTGCTGAGTTCAGAGGCGTTACCAATGAACTATTCAGGCTGTGACTGGATTAAACACAATGGTAAGTCAGCGAAGAGTAATTAATCTCATATTATCTAGTCCTAACTATTGACCGAATTCTGTCAGGCACAAATCAGTAATAATACATTGCATCAGTATGTCCTAGTAACTGCAGAGAGATAAATGTCTGGTAGGAGTTTAATACGAATCCATTTTCTTTCGGGAAAGTTCGGAGTTTGCGCTTATCGCACTGCGCCACTCTAGTCTCAGAATATATTTTTTCAGCATCGGATTTTTAAACGATGTTTTCAAGGGAAAACTAAAGTACATAGAATGATGGAATCCCCGATATTTTCAACTACTCATTAATGAGAAAGCAAAAGCCAAAAAAAACTAAGGTGAGGAAGGTACGTTTTATAGCTACAAGTAGCGCACTTTTATGCGAATTCTAATATGGTGCTGGAAATTGAAAATTGACTAAAATAAATGATACTACTTACTATTGCTATTAAGTAGAGAAACAGTATGGCATAAAAATTATAGGGTGGTTAAACTTCATACGCGCAGCATATGCGTCAGTAATCAGTGACAAAATATAGGAATAGTGTCTGCTAACCAGTGCAACAACGATAACAATAACAACATCCCTTGACAAATTATGATCCAATAGGCTTTCTTTTTTGTCAAAACAGATTTTCTTTGTCTGTGTTGCTTGCAACACTGCTGCAAATTCTTAGTAAAATTATATTCATCAAATGCTTTTAACAGACAAATTCCAACTGATGGTAAGGGAGGTTCGAAAATAATTTTAATAGGCAAAATAAAACACATAAAGAGTAATTATTTTTTGATCAGCTAAGTAAAATTCTGATATCTCATTAGTTATTTTATCTGATTGGTGAAGGATTGACAGAAAAACAATGCAACTGTTTCAGTAGTTCTCATGATTAGCTAGCTGACGGCTAAATTCACTAAGTGAGCAATTCACTACTGATGCGAAAAGTGAACACACCATTAGACATCACAGTCGTATAGTGAATTCAGTGAAATGGCAAACTTAGAGATCAAGAAACAATATATCGCTGACTTTCAGTTAACACAGAGTGATTACATATTAGAGCAGCCATAGAAAATGCATTCGCAGGATACACCATACCTACTACCCCTGTTACTATTGTATTACGAGTAACATTAGTGAACCGAATTTCCAGTGAAATAAACTCTCATTTGTTATCTATGTACAACTTCAAATGTCACCCACAGATATCTGTATTTCATTGGAATGATGCTTGATAGCGTGAATTATTATAAAGCATCAACGCATACTGTATATATCACGAGATAGCTTAGCTTCTCTAGTCAGTAAATGGTTCTGGGGCATGTTAAGGACAAGACAGCGCCTTGGGCCACTCGAATGTGTGTCTGCAAATTTAACTGCTAATATTATAATCATGAACAGATATCTATGTATCATTCAACCAAAACCTTTAATAACAACCGTAAAATCCAGACTTGGTTAGAAACGAAGTTACGTAGCTTAATCGGTAGGGCAAAGGGTCGCTGACGTGAACGCCGTTTGTCAGAGTCCTAGGCAGAGGTTCAAGTTTTCCTTTAATCTCAATCACCACTGTCTTACACCAAGAATAGTTTGCCAAAACAACGCTGTCTCAGAGAGTATAATCAATATTATGAAGATGTCCAGGATATATATATATATATATATATATATATATATATATATATATATATATATATATATATATATATATATGCATGACGGATTATTAATAACCTTAGCACATATTTTTCCCAAAGATAACAAATTTTATGCCTATTATCAGCATCATTTCCTGACCATCCATCTATCCAAACCAACATAAGAGCAGGCATTACTGCGTGACGGTCCGAGTTGCCACAGCTCATATCAGCACATTAAGTAAAAAAGAAGTGAAGTGGAAGGTGAAGAAAAGAAAATTCAGTCAGAAGAGATATAAATTACTCAAAGAGGGGAAGGAAGAATGCGAAAATGGGAGGGGGTCTGAGGGAGAAGTCGTACTGCCGCTAGCTGGATGGGGTGTGACGGCAGTAAGGTGTTTCCCTTGGATGACCAGAAGTGCAATGCTGATGCTACCTTCTCAGTGGAAAGACGGGTTAGGAAAAGTCAGCCGCAAAAAATAACACACTCCACCATACCTCACAGTCTGCCGGGCTGGTGGTGTTGGTGCATCTGTCGTTTCTTTTCGACCATTATTAACGTGGTAGTCCAACCAAATGTGAGCGATATTGCGGAGACAACACTAGTCAGTAGTAGTAATAGTCAATAAAACGTTAAAGGATAATTAATGTCAACTTACAGATAGACAAGTAACTGATGGTCATAAGCAAAACCAGAGGGCAAAGCAGCAGGAGTACTTTCATCATCACTATTATTTTCTTGATTGACGTCATCTTCGTCTTCTTCTTGCTTTCTTGAATTACTGCTATTTACTGATACCTTCGGCTTTTTAGTCTTTACCACTTTTTTATGATGCCATCTTTCAGAAGTACGCTCAGGAAATAGAACATCCGGCTTTCTCACAAATACATCATTTGGATGAAGCATTACAAAACCTTTGTTCTAAAAAATGTAGGTTGTGATTTTATCACAAAAACATAAGAATTACAGCATGAGTTAACAGATATGCTGAATGAATATTAACTAGACAACTACAGCAAACCAGAGAGCATTGGGAAGTTGTTTCGCTCTGGCTGAGGACTCCTTGGCAGTTTAAAACCAACAAACTCACTCGAAATCAGTTTCTGTGGGGTCAATGAAGTTGGATACCCACCAATAACATTGGATGATGGTTAAATTATACCGGAAATTGACTGGACTCAGGAAATATGGACAAATAAATTTCAGCTCAGTGGTAAAGTTCTCTTCATGAAACCCAAAGTTATACTATTCGGTCCTATGTGGGGGTTAGAGACTCAATAGCTGTTCATCATTTAGTGGTTTTCAGCAGTACCCCACCTGACACTAATTCTTGAAGAAATCACTAAATATTAATTGGTTATTTTATTGATGAGATATGACATCCGATAAAAACACACTGAAACATTCATTTTTACCTAATTTCTAACTATAAAACCTGAGAAACAGTTTCATGCAGTAACGAATACAAACAGTATGAGATGCAAATGTTCTACTGTTAAGTTAGGCATCATCATTCGCACAAATTGCAACAAATCAGTAATGATGATATGAAAAAGTGTCTGACAACCAAAATTCTTGTTTCACTTCCATTAAACCCGAAAGTTCAGCTTATCAATAATTATTTTACATTCTTCATATACATTCTGTTGAATTACTACTACTGCTACTGTTCTGTTAAAACTAAACACTAAATTGCTGGGTCCGATGATAACTTAAATAGGAATGTTTGAATACCGTCTATTGAATAAGTTATATTTCATATTTTAGTGGTGAAAATTACAGCATACTTTAGTATCAAGTTGCAAACCTTATAACCTAATTATAGCCTGTATTTAAACCCCATAAACCTTACCACGTAGTCCTAGCTAAGTTCCCAAGGCTCATTAGGTCATAAAGCAGCAAACAAACAAGGCCTACTCTATCATACTTAATGCATCACTTCACGAACCCGCTGTCTATTTTAGATTATCAAACTTTAATTCCTAAATCTTTCTACAGCGTTCCACACAAGTAATTTAGAAGCAATACGGTGCCACTTAAATGGTTGCTTACATCTACATAACGGTTCAGAAGGCTTAATGGTATGCAATATTATAGGTGAATATTTTCGTAATATGCACTTTGACTTTGAACAGTGAGAAGCAGTCAAAAACCTAGATAAGTTCCTAGACATCGTTAAAAAGCATATCGGCTAAAATTTTCTCTCACTTTTGTACTAAAAATTAAGTCTTTTCCCTTCAGGAGTGCTCACGATCATTTCAAAGTCACATAAGGATAGCAAAATTCTATAGTTCTATGGTTGACAGTCCTAAGATCAGCAGATGGACAAAATCAACGCCGAATCCCGCACTTAAGTGCATTGGTTCTAGTTACCACACTTCATAACAGCATACGAAGAATAAGTGGATCGAAAAAAACCGATATCAGAGTAGACAAAAGTGTATGGGAGGAGAGGTAATACAAAATGAAGCTTAATCAAAACATCCGAACTTTAAAAGACGTCAAAAAGTGAATACATCTACGCGATTGTGATCGATTTTCAGCTATGTCATCAAGGTTACTCAGCCCCTGATTCCCATCATCTCGGGAACAGAACCAGGTAGTCTAAACCTCTGTACACCACTCTGATCAAGAGTCAGAGGCCTCATGCACTGGTGCGACGCCTCTCCTGTACCGTTCGTCTGACTTCGATATTGTTCACATGATGATTCTACTATACTTGAGCAATGAGATGAAAACAACTATGGTTAAAAACCTGTAACCACTTCACATATTCTACTTTCAACGGCCATGTCTCACAGCCGTATAACAGGAGAGAACGGACCGCAGCGCAGCATACTGGTCACTTGACAGGTAGTCGGATATCTCGCCGGTCAGTAAATGCCGAACGGGCCTTTCGTATATCAGATGGAACTTTTCCATCAACCAGCACATTTGAGCTGGTAAGTAAGCGAATTAATCAACGCATTCAACCCCTTTACTTTATATCCTTAAACCAGGAGTAGTTACATACCAGTCTTGAAGCATCAGCTAACATGTGACAGGAGCGAGACACTCAGATTTCTGTTCATCATGTTCAGAAGACCTTGGATTTTATCAGCATCTTTATCTAGTACGACAATATCATCTGCATACTCTAAGTCAACTAAATGCCCTTCAGGGAGTAGACCAATCCACGTGAAGTCAGTTGCATCTTAGGTCATGTCCATTAATACATCTATAACGAAATTAAAATAGGTATGACTCACCGTTTTAAGTGTTTGACTTTCTAGCAATGCATTCCAATTTAATTAAACCCTACTCCGCCTATTGCGTTCTGGATAAAAGAACAGTATAATAAATCACTACACAAAAATGTGTCTTAGTCCATTACGTAAACCTGTACCGGGTTGAGTTATATTAGGTATAACACAAATTTTTCAGTAAATTCATGTTAATCACTTTCAACAATTTGATTAAAGTACATCAGATATACTTTATATAAATACTAGCTCACCTTTGTATGAAATACCATTTCAGCTCCAGCTCCAGCTGTACCACCACGATTAGCAACACGATAGGCATTAGCTGCATCTCCAATAGCTAGATGAGGATACATACCACCAGCTAGAACAACTTTCAAAAGTTGAACATCAGCCTGTGTCATATTTTCTTGAATACTTGCTGATTGTGCTAAGGCAGACAAGTTATAGCACAGAACTAATTCTAAATCCTGTACAGGGACATTTAATGAATTAATATTGACCGATGAGCGAGTCGATGCACTCAACCATTTACGTAATTTAGATGAGTCAGTTTCTGGATGCTTACTTTCACCTTCAGATTCTGAGTCATCAGTAAACTGTAAAAGTGGAAAACAAGTTCCATTAAAAACTGTAACTAAACTGAAGACAAAACTTGATCGTGATTGAAAGAAAAGGAAAATATCAGAAAGTAGAATAGTGAACTCCGATAAATATATAAATTACTAGTTGACACAAACGTGCTTAGATATCATAAGGTACTCACAATCTAAACAACTCATCTTTATTTTATTTAGCGATGAAGGGAGTGATTAAACGGTTTCAGAAGGCATGGTGGGTTGAGTGCTTTATTACAAGGTTACTGATATAGTGATCTCTGAAAAACGGTCTATGTATTGCAGATGAAATCATCCGAGTATTAATTCGTCACCACTTTTGACTGACATTTAGACTTATATTAGAATTAAAATCCGTATTATACTGACAACTAACGTTCGGCTTTTGCATGGGCGTCACGTAAACGCCGATAACCTTCATGGCCTACAACACAGTTTTAACTAGTGAGGCTGATTATCTAATGTAGTATATGTTTGCTGTACACTGGTCACTGGAAGGTGACCAACTTCATGTTGTCTAGTCCTAAGTGCTGACCAAAGCCAATCGGTCATTTTTTTAGTGTGGTCACCAAGTTAGGAGGCTCATTATTGCGGTGCACTTTGATGAATGCTAGTTGGGAGAAGGTAGTCGATAGGAAGTCCTGCCCAACCTAGACTTCAAACTTGTTGGCACTCGTCAACAAGGCATATCACTGACCTCGAAAAAACTGATTTCCCCTCTGGGATTCAAATTCGCGTCACCCAGTGATGAAGGCAGGGACGCTATCTTTGAGCCGTGATCAACTTCCCGTACACCTGGATTAGGTAGACTGGTTGGTCAGTGGGGAGCAGCCAACCTCACGTTGCCTGGTTCGAATAACTGAGTGATAATGTCTTTGACTTCAGTATAGTGTGACAGGTCCGGATCTATTAGCGGAAATCAGTCCCGTCAAGGTTAAAGATACACCTTGATAACGAGTCCAAACAAGCAAAACACCTAGGTTCAGGGCATCCTGCCGACTGTCTCCACCCAACTAATATTAAGTATACTGTATTCGAAGTTAGATAATGGACTAGTATTAGTAAATGGAGATATCTAGGATTTGAATACTGGGATCTGCATAAAAAAGAACCAGAATTGTAATTGTAGTCTGGTATTTAGAGACTTCATGCTAAAAATCTCGTATTTCAGAAGGGTAAAAAGTTATTCATTGTAGTCTACGCATGAACTACAAAAAGAATTGTAATATCACACCTAACTGTAAAGTATACGTGAATACTAGATGAGGAATTCTTTGAGTTTGTATAAAAATGACCTACAAATTTTCATTTATACGAGAAGTATTCAATGAATAATCAACAGAATCTTTATTAAGCCTACAGACATAGAGTATCAGTTCATTACAATCGGGCTCAAATGTACGCTTGGCAACTTCTTTTTGTAAAGCGAGAAACAGCACTGTAAATTCGTGATAAAAAATACACTGAAATAAATAAATCCCTATATGTCATCAATTAAATAGTGTTGTATTAGTTGCCCGACCGATAGCTGATATCTTGACGTGGTAGGGCTTGGATATCACGATGAAACCAATGAGCTATGCTGGTGGAAAGCATGTTTTCTCTCGAGGTCCTGCCATGCCAAGAAGGTCTGTTAGATAATGGTAAGACGAAAAGCAGTTACCTTCGAAGTGTAAGTACTATATTATAACCAGAGTCTGAGAGCTGGCTGGGGCGTGACAGGAGCAAGGTGTTTTCCTTGGATGACCAGCACTGGCACACTGAGGCTACCTTTTTAACGGAACGGATGGATAGAAAAGGTCTGCCCCCAAAATAACACACTTCATTGTGACCCACGACCTTCCGAAATGGATTTTGCGTCCATCCGATGTTAGAACAACCAAGCCAAAAAAAGGCCGTATGTAACAGGCCTCAAGAAGATGTTCACTGGGCTCGGCGGTCATGCACTCACCCTTCTTTTTCAGGCACCTCAAGAAGACCCAGCCCGCCACGGTGTCGGCAGCTGGGAAGTGTCAGCTATCTTCACAACTCTGTCAGCGTTCAAGTTCCCTCAGACCCAAATCCACCTCCCTCATCCTTCTAATCTTCCTTCACGTTTCTCAACTAACAATCCTACATCATCATTAATTTCTTCTAGCCCTGAAGCTTTCGACAACGATCTGAGTCCACAGAACAGCATCACTGATCTCTTTAAACCACGCTTCAAATGACACATTAGAACCTTCAACGTCCTCACTCTCCGTCGAACTGGCCGAGGCTCTAGCAATTCGTGTCATGGATGTGGGCTGTTTGTGAGATACGCATACGAGACCGAAGTGCGATTATTCCTTTAACCTCTATCGGCCAATTTGGTGAATCCGTGAAGCTCATCCTTCGAGTTTCTGGAGATTCAATGGCTAGTGTAGACATAGCATTAAGGCAGAAAGCTCACTACTAGAATGGATCACACCTGGCAGTCACCTGTGCACTGTCCGGCTGAATGGTACAGTAAGAACTAAAAGGAACAGTGAGACTCGTCGTTGTCTCTTTGTAGTCTCTGCTTACCCACACACTGACTGCAGTTCGGATTAAGTGAAAGATGAGTCTTACCGAAAACTGTCTAGCCTCCTTCTGAAAGCCAAACGTTTAGACGACGTTGTTGTTTTAGGTGATTTGCATGCACAAGTGGATAGGCTGAGTGTTATGATTTGGAAACTGCTATGTGCTGTGTCCACTAACGATGCACGGATATCAAGTGTCAGCCGCCAACGTTCAACGAATTCTTTGTTGATTCTCAACCCGACTAATTAATGGAGATGACACGATGGACGTGTAGTAACGTGTATTGAGGTCGAAAGACCGAAGACCAAAACAAAGGAAAATACAGCTACTGTACAGATAGTTCGCTGTTTAAAATAATCCTATTGATTGGCTGGTCCACCATCTGTTTGTCTAACTATAGTGGTAACATAAAGTACATTCTGATTGGTCCCTTTCCAAATTAGTCATTTCTCTCTATCCCCATACCAGGCAGAAAGTCACTCAGGTGGCACCTTCGGAATCCCGGCTGAATGAACAGATAACGGTAATCGCCTGCTACAACTGTGCTCAGATAACCGTTTATTTCTGGCTAGCACAAACTTCAGATATAAAAAAAAGACATTGTCTGACTAGGTGTTCACCTAGCTCAACTCAGTGATGAACACACATAGACTATATTGCTATCAGTCATCGCTGGAGAGGGTAGGTGGAAGACTGAAGACACTACCACTCATCCAGAAGCTTGGTGCCAAATTAATGGATTTACGCGAACACATCCTTTCAGACTCTAAGCACAATGAGGAGCAAACGCAACTCAAATATAGACTAATAAAAAGTCTACGCAGTGATCGCAAACAGTAATGGCCAGCGAAGGCTAAAGAGACGGAAATGGCAGTGGTGATAAGTAACAGCAGACAACTATTTAGATATATTGAGGAAACTGGAGCGAATAGGTCAACGGTTAGGGAGACTATAGCGAAGAAGCATGGGTCTGCGATTCACTTGCAGGAGAGACGACTGGAACGAAGAAGAGAGTACTTTGACGAACAGTTCGACTGGCCTTCAGATACTATTGTGTCTTCCGCTTTTCAGTCGGATCCTGAATGGAACAGTCAGATAGGGTCCCTCAACACTAGTAGAAGTCGAGAAAGCAGTAGGCAACTAGAAACGAAGAAGGATAGGAGGACCAGAGGGACCAGTTTCAGAGGTATATAAAGACGGAAGTAGAGTGTTTTTAACTCGAGTGTTAACTAGTGTATGGGAGTCAAATATGATTCCCTCTGACTGGTCTCAGTCACTGATTTATCGCAGTTTTCAAGAAAGGTGAAAAGTCCTCTTGTGATAACCACAGAGGAATCAGCCTGGCAAACATAGGGTCTAAGATTCTTGGTTCGATAATCATTAGATGCCTAAGTGGGGATCGGGAACAGCTAACCGGAGAAAATCAGTCAGGCTTCAAACCTGGACATCGGTGTATTAACTATATATTTACTTTACACCAGGTTCTTGGACAAGGGTATACATATTGGTGACTGACACTTGTATTATTTCTTAACCTGAAAGTAACAATCGAACCCTTAGATCAAGAGGCCATATGGCAGTGTCTGCCCCTGAAAGGAGCACCGAGTAAGTACATCGACCTACTGAAGGCTGTTTACTAGAACACATGTGGGCCTATGGTGAGATGTCGGGTGAGCTGTGTATGTCGAGTGCTGTTCATCAAGGTTGCCTACTCTATACATTCCTATTCAATTTTACCGTGGACGTTCTTATGGAGGTCTCCTTCTCGACATCTGACTATACAGGGATTGATCTAATCACACGAGAACTTTTGGTTGGCATAGAATACACAGACGACATAGTTCTGTTAGTTGAAAACGTTGACAACATGTAGAATATTCAGGACATCTTCAGTAGCGATTTGAGAATGTTTAGGATCCATTTCTCGCCACCTAAATGCAAATTGTTGCTCAAGAACTGGTCTTAAGCGGTGTCTTGGCTAACAGTAGACAGCAGAGGTGTTGAGTGCATTCAGCATATCACCTACCTGAGAAGTCAGATAAGCTTTGATGGCTAAGTGGCCGACGGAATCTCTACATGGGTACAGAAGGTTCATTCGGCTTTTAGAAACTTACCCCATCCCTGACACCACCGCGATATCCGACTGTCTATTAAGGGTCGATTGTACTGCACTGAAGTCCGCTACCTTCTACTGGTATGGCTATGAAACATGACCATTCGCAGCATACATTGTGTTTCGTGGTGTCACCACGTGAGCAATGCAGAAGTCAGACGTAGAGTTTTAGGGAGGAGAGGTAAGTTAGTTGATGCTGTTGTGAACCTTAATCGACTGAGATGACTGGCTGGGACATGTGCTACATATGCCCAGCAACCGTCTGCCTCATAGCACGTTGACCGAAGTAGGTTCAGGCTGGAAAAGAGCTCAGGACATCCAGACTAAAGCACAGCATCAATGCACGAAGTCCTTGACTGCTCATATTAGCTATGTAGAGCGCTGCAGACTAGTCGGTCGGGGTCCACCGCACAAGTGAAACTGGTGATTGGAGACTCTAGGTGATGTGGTTCGGAACCGATGTCAGTGGCACAGATGTATACACACATTATCTTCATCGTAACCGCTATACTTGATCTCACCATCTTCTCATTCATTATTCCTCTCCTTTATTACTTTCTACTTCTACTTCCTTTGACTGATTTTACTTTCCTTCTTCATCTTCCATTGTATTGCCTTGTTACTTGGTGTATTGATATTAGGTGCGGTAACTTGGAATGTTACGCAGTAATGCCTGGTCCTATGTTGTTTTTCATGATGATGATAATGTATTGGTTGGGTAAGATGTTAAAGAGACTGTAAAATGCACAACGTCAATCACATTGCAAGATATTACTGAAGATAGATATGACAGTGGACAATGACAATGGAAGGAGTTCCATAAGTGGCTAATAAATCCTGACATTAAAAACAATAAGCACGTTTAGCATTGACTTACATTATCTTGTAAAGTAAGCAATCGACGTCGTTTTGTTCGCATCCTTTCACTACGTCTAGCATGATTCAAATTTTTCAAATGATGACTTTTAGATGAATTTCTTTTGAGATCAGACTCTTTCGATTTAACATCGAGAAGGCCACTGTCTCTTAATAGTTGGGCAAACTGACTACGTAATCGAACCATTTCATGAAGACGTTGTTGTTGAGCACCAATACGTCGACACCATCGCTTTATATTTGTACCGCCTTTATAATCATCATCATTATTGTTATTTTCATCATTTTGACTAAAGATACCAGTTCCCTCTGATTTCATCTGAATATTGAAGAAACAGCAAGTAAATAAATGTTAAAAAATAATGCTAACAACTAAATGTTTTATGGAGAAAGGAATGGCAACGAACCAACCAAGAAGGCATCACCCAACAATTATACATAAGAAAGTGGAGGTGGTTCGGGCATACACTGAGACCATTCGGGGACATCATGTGCCAGGCTCTCGAGTGGAACCCAAAGAGGAAACAAAGAGTTGGGTATCCGGGGGTGACACGGAAAAGATCGTGTAAGGAAGAAATAAAAGCTTCTGAACAGTCGTGAAGCCAGATTCAAAAGACTGTAGAGAACAGAGTGAAGTGGCGAAGTGCTACTGAAGCCCTATGTTCCACTGGGAACCCAAGGAACAAATAATAATAATAATAATAACAACAGTAATGAACAAATGGAAAATCGAAATGAGAAGTGTTTAAGACACTGAAAACTGAAATGGCGGTAAAAAATGTGTGAACATACTAAATCACTCACGGAGAGATATTGACAGCTCACTTCATACTGAAGTTAGTGCTGATGATGTCGTCTAGCAAGGAGATGAAAGCTTCACGATTAAACAACCCAGCTCAGAGAACACAATACAACCAAGACATAAAAGCATCATTTTATAGTTCAACTAAGAAACTTGATGATCTATGTAGCATTTTGAAAATTTGAGATAGTCGTGGTTTGGCAGACTTGTATTGATACTAGGTGATGATTGAAGGTGAAATGGAAATTTGGGCCGTGGCAGGATTCGAAACAGCGACCACCGGGTTTCCTGCACGGTGCTTTACTAACCGAGTAACGACATCCGACTGCTGACGACATTTTTATTTCACTTCATTTACTGAGGGTTTTGCCCGACTGTCATGTGAATTCGTGGCGTGTTCCCATAACTTGGTCGTACTCACACTGGCTGCCCAGTCATAACTTCTCATCCCAATCCAAATCTACTTGGATTAGGGAGGGGGAATATCACAACGTTTATCATTTTGACTATCTGAGATAGTCATGGTTTGGCAGACTTGTGTTGCTACTGATTGATGATTGAAGTCAGGTAAATACTTGTTGATTGAAGTGAAATAAAAATATGGTCAGCAATTGCGTCTCGTAGCTCAGTTGCTAGAGTACTGGGTCGGAAACCTAGTGGTCACTGGTTCGAATCCTAGCAAGGTCCGAATTTTCACTTCACCTTCAATTATCACCCAGTACCATTTGTACGGGTAGATTTACTTCTTGTGCGTACTTTATTTTCCCATTCTGCTTACGGAATGGTCAATCAATTAGCTTGTTTACTGCTGTTCCCTTTTTTTCTGTGCTCAGCCAAGTGGGTATTTACCACAAATAATCAAAGCTAGAATCCAAGTCCAGCAGTCACTGCACCATGCAGGATAAAGCATACTACTGAGTGATATGGGTAATTAGTTTCAGTCATTCATCCCGAAAAGCAGATTTCGATGTCAGATCAGAGTGGTTGAAGAATTACATAACTGTTTAGAACTAGGTTCATCAACTATGCACTCAAACAAATTTATTTCTCATGGTCAAAATGTTTGGATCAACGTAACTGCTTCTCTATAAGTACTTCTGCTGTTCAGTAGTAGTATATTTCTTCAGTTTGTCAAGCTTTTGTGTCAGAGATTAGTTTACGCTCTCGAACGAGAATCCTATTGACAGTAAAGTTGAGTAGTTGGAAAAATGATATTCTGTAGGAAATGCTAATATGAACTGTGTTATTTGTTAATAACTTAAGAGTTGATCATTCATTGTTGCAAAATAGTTTCATCAATAACTACCAATATTAACCTCAGTTTAAGGAAGCTTACAAAAAATGTTCTGACATGTAAATTTTTATTGCCAAATCAATTCACTTACTGACTGATTGATGAGAATGTTGGTCAATTTTCCACCGCCTGATAAAGTAAAATCTATTGAATATACCCAACCTATTTAATTCTTATATAAAGTTCATTCAAGGCTGGTTATTTAAATATTCGAAAGATGGATGATTGATGTTTTTACTAGTTAACAAGTAGAAATACTTTAAGCAGAGGTAACAAAAACGATTTCTTTTCGGTGAATTCATTTTTACAGTTGTCCCATTCGTAAGTACATAAATGTAATCTAAAGGATAAAATAACTTTCAGTCACAGTTGAAAGTTTGCTATGCTGTGAGAATAGGCTTATAAGGCGTGAGAGATATGATACTCCAGAATGAAAATGTAAACAGATGATTAAAAAATGAATGATGGTTATCTACCAAAGGAATTATATCGTTTGGCTTATTGATCAAGGCATTCAAAGTCTAAATGATCGGTCATGGGTTCGCACTCAGCTCCATCTACTGACATCTGTGCAACCAGGTGGTATCATTAATCCTCACATAATAGCTATAACTAGTTGTCTACTCCACGAACGTCCATGTGGTTGCTGAGTTGACTTTGGCTTTGAATCATCTCACTTAAAAGTAACTGTTAAAAAAAAACTTCTGTTATGGATTAAAGTACTGAATATTCTCTAGAATTTAATAATTGCTAACAATTCTGTGGAGTAAAGAATCCTTACTCCTCAAAGACAAACAAAAAACTTAATTTGGATATAGTTTCTAAGGGTTTTAAAAAGCAACTGTTTTCTCTGACCCCAACTAATCATATAACTATCGGATATTTTCTAAATTAAACTAAATTATCTTACTTTATCAATAAGTACCTATAGAGAGTATATTTCAAAATGAAATTATACTTATTGATACTCCCAAAATATGCAGACCTTGAAGACTGAAAACCGTGAATTTTGAAGTCCTACAATCAGATTACTGAGAAGGATTATACAGGTTCAAATCTCTGGGACAACATCAGTACCCTGGACGTTGCAGATACACCTTGCTAGCGCGTGGCAACAAGCACGAAATCTAGGTCCACGGATTCCTGCCGATTACCTGAAACCACCCAAAGTAATAATATATATTTTCATCATTGTAGAGAACAAAACTGATGTGAAAAGATGGAATTATGTCTCAGGAAAATTACAATAAATACCGATGAAGTAGTACAACCTTGTATTCAACACTATTTATACAACAATATCCACACTGTTTTCCGTGTGAGTTGTCTTTCAGTTTCTCGTGCTTCTTAGCTTATCTTCCGCATTTCATTCAAATAATCTCTATTTCTCTCTCCAGGGTCTCAGTCGGTTGAATGTCAATTCTTATTACTTTTCCAGATGACACCATACTAAGTACTACTTATATGTATTCTTATAAGTAGAATCTACCGAAAAATAAAAATATGTCAAGACAAAAAATAGCGTAAAATCAACCAGTTTATCACAATTACCTTAATCCATTCATCAAAAACATTGACTAGAGTGAATGCATCTCCATGGTCACTTTCATATTCAGCCAAGCAATCTACCCGACGTGTTTGTTCTGCTCCAGTGAAAGCTGTATGTGGTAACAGTGGACACTGAATAGCCATACCAGCAGCTAAGCTTAAAACAGGCTCAACAAGTCTTAGTAATGACGCTAGTATTAACATACGACCCAATGAAAATTCTACTGGTAATTCGGATAACAACTGACCAAGTGGAGTAACTGTTAGTAACGGACTTGTAGGATTTTGTGGAACAAGTGCTCCATGGGACTGAAATTAAAAACCAAAATAAGTTTGATAAAACAGTAGATATGTTCAACGACTAATGTTAAATTTCTTTAGTACAACAATCTATACTCTATCTGCTCTTCACAACATTATCTATCTCTTCGTACAATAGTAAAAATAAAAAGGTATCTTGTCTACCAGACCCATATTAGCATTAAGATGACAATCCAGGGACAAAGAATCTTCGATTAATAGTGAGTTCAGTTCAAGCTCTTATCAATCTTACCAAAATTAATGCATACTTAAATGATTTAGAAGATAGCTCATTATATTTTTACATAAAGTGTTCACCACCTAACTAAATTGCTATCGAAGCGGTGTAGTAAGACGATATTGCTTAACTATCAGAGGATTGAAAAATCTTTCGTTGAGTAATAATTTTACGTCAACACTATACATTTTTTTCAAAACTGTCACAATAATGTCACCCACAGCAAAGAAAAAGACAATACTGTGATTTTGCACAACTATACGTGGAAGTTCGTATTATTATGAATGAAATCAAAGAAATATTTTTTGAATATACCTGAGAAATATGCAGGATAATATAAATTCATTCATAACGTGCAACAACCGTTCTGTGAATATCCTTTCATAAAGTAAACAACAATCAAAGAAATGAACAGACATTACCAACACAGGATCTGGCAGTTCAACATAGTAGATCAAGTTACCACACCTCACATGGGCACACCAATAAGATGAAAGATAAAGACATGAAAGCGATATTAACAGAAGTCATAGAAAGCCATCAGCCAACAAGAGAAAATCAGTGAAATCAAGGTTGTCTTACAACGATTACGATGAAGATAAGACAAGAGTGCATCTGAGTCATTGCGAAGGGATTCTACGCTGTGTCAAGTAGAGTTAGTCAAATAAACGTATGCCACAGGCATACATTTTTTCATCAATAAGGATTTCTTTAGACATTCTGGTGCTGTGGCTATAAGATCATCACTAGGGCTAATCCTAGCGAACGTCCTCCTACAGGAACTACAGAATAGTTCTTTGAAAGATACATTTAAGAGGTTAGAATTCTACTGATATTATGCGGATGACACATTCATAATTTTGCATAATGCGAACTATACGATTCATACAATGGGCAAGTTTAATAGCATTCATTCAGCATCTGTCTTTAAAATTGAAGAATGTGAGAGTAGCATAGCATTCTTGCGAGTCTTAATGACACGGAGAACAGACGAGACAATAAAAAGGAATGCGTAAGAAAACATAAACCTTAGTTGGTCAGTACACACATTTTTTGAGTTCTTTTCCTGACAATCCTAAGAAGCCTCTGCTCTTAAAACTGCAGTTTCGAGATGATATCACTAGTGGATTGTGTCGCAATGCCTTAGAATTGCTTTCAGAACAATGAATGCAGCAGACTCGTATTGTCTCTTTTTCACTCGATCGATACTGAGTTAATAAAATAAAGACAGACTGCCTAAAGTCGTCTATTATGGAGCTAGTTAAATTGCGCATACGATTAGGTAATTACATCTTCGCATTTGTAAATACTGTCCATCATAACTGAGTGAAGAGAAAATTAAACCAATAAAAGGTTTTATGCTTGGACATCTAGTCGATGTAAATGAGTTATTTAAAATTATTTATCGTATTACTTTTAACCTCGTCCATCACATAAGAAATCGTCTTTCACGTGAACTAGAAGCTATTAGAATTCATTGAAACAAGTTAGACCTGCATTCAAAAAGAGTTTGTACCGCCTGTAACTTCACATTTACAAAATATAGCCCTTCCTTTAGTCGAACTTGAAAAATTCTTCTTATTTGTCTCCCAATATCCTCAAGTTTCAACAACTGACCATTAAACATGATTACTCATCCTATTTATTCATCATCATTGTTAGGCAACTCACCAACTAAGTATAAACCTGATCGGACTTTCATAGTCTTATAGTACTCAATTATTCTGTCTTCTTAATTAGCTGCCCTAATTTTCATGGTCGATAATCACTGTGTTAATATTGTAAAGTTCATCATTTTGTTAGCATCTATTGACGAAATGATGGAATTACAATGGTTCCTTCATCTTGGTCAGTTATTGGCGGATTATGTCCAGTTTCGAGAATAGCAATCTAAAACCGATAATTGATAATTTTTGGTGTACAAAAAGTATGTTAAGGATACTTTCATAATTTGAAATGATGACTGTAATTTAAATTATGCTTTACAAATATTGAACAGTTTTCATCCCTAAATAAAATTCATACTTGAAGTAGAAGCGGAATTAAGGATTCTGTTTTTAGATGCGGAATACAGAAAATGAGGTGATAGGACAGTGAAGAGGTCTACCTAGAGGAAACCCGCATGGAATAGTCAGCTGACGAATTTCTACAGTTGGGTACCTGCTTGTAAATCAAAAAAAAAATCCGTGTCAAGGCCTTAGCCTACCGTATTCGACAAATCTGCTGCACAGGTTACTTTGAAGTAGAGCTTATGTTTCTCAAAAAAAGTCCTAGTTGAAAATGGGTATCGAGCCTAATTCGTGAACAAAGTATCAAATTTAAGCCATAAAGAAATACTACTTATTTTAGCTCCGAGGAAGATACCAAGCATGAATCTTGACTTCAAAGGTGAATTCTTCGCTGATATCTTGAAAATAAGAATTTATAACCCGTTAAAGAAAACTTTCTTGGTGTCAACCCAGAGGGTTATAATCTCCAGCCGTACAATGATTCCTCGCAACCCGAAGGATTTGACCTTCATAGACTGTCATATAAAACTTTCGATTATTCCGAGTAAATTCACATTTACAGACACTGCTTAAATGAACTTAGTTTACGTATTTCAAGAATCTAAGGGCTATTGAACTATAAAAATTATACATAAACTTAAAAATTAAATATACCTTCAGTATTTCAAAGGCTTCATCAATGCATTTCATCTCAGGAGGATCAATAAAAGGGAATTTTTTAACATCTGGTAAACCCATTACCATCATTTGTAAAACTAGTGTTTCTAGTGGAACACGACGAATTTCAGGGGTGCTAAAAGCCTTGAAAAAAAATTATATCAAGTTAGATAAACAAGTAGAATTTCAATAATTTTATGAAATAAATAAAAGAAACTGAATACGTATGTAAACTAATAACAATGAAAAGTGATTCGTTGAATTGAACATAATCCACGTTTATAACGATTGAAGTGAAGAGAATTTAAACTTGAAGCAATTCAAGTTGATTCGATTATTTTATGTAACTTAAAAGATATTATCTTTAGGACTTATTTTATAGTATTACCGCAATGACCAGTACAAGATCATTGTACTAATCCCTCATTTATTGCCGTACAATTTATGGTTCCCAGATAGCTGACAAGTGACCTTAAAGGCCAGAAACAACTGAAATAACTAACCAGACTGATGTATTTTATTAGAATCTGCCTTTCCAACCAAAATGAAGAAACCTAATTGGCTATTTCAATCGTTACTAGAATGGCCTTTAAAGTCGCCCTAACTGTCTGTTAACGGAAGTCAATTATTGCGGTTTTCTTTTGTGAACATAAAATTATTGTACCCCACCAGTATATAATTCAGACCCATAAATGTAGGAGTTAGATCTCTATTAAATAATAAGAACGATGAGCACCTGAATTGCTTTCTACTCAGTAGAGTTGAGAGGGTGAATCGTGTGAATCTGTGTATGAATCACATATGCGCGATATGGAAATTGTATGAGGAATTAATCACGTGCTCAGAATTACCATTGGATTAGATAATCATGTGACATAACTAAATTATGTTGATCTCAACCTACTTGTCTGATGGTAATCAACTATAGAGTCCAGAATGTACGAAGAAAATGGTGGAGTAGAAAAAATGAAATTACAAAATCGAAAAAGTAAAAATCAGTACTCGTTGGATAAACATGGTCCTCATAAGTCAGAAGTTAAGCGGTTAGCACTCCAACGTTAAGGACAAAAAACAAATCGTCTACATCTTAGCGGGAACATCATCACACACTAGGATACGGGTACATCCAGCTGACGAGTCTGAATTAAGACTAAATGCATATCCTAGACCCAACTTTGAGGGTCATTTTGAAGCGATACTCGAAGTGTCGATTTACTAGTACCAGTAAACCGACAGTAACTAATCAATTTGCTTCAACAGAGTGAACAACAGAAAGTTACAAAATCTAATTGATAATCTTGTACTGGATATTCGCTATTCAGTAAGAAACAGTAATCATGTAAAATTTATCTCCCAAAGAGTTTTCTTGGTACACAGCCTAAAAATGCACCGACTACTCGGTTCAAATCTAATAACATTCAAAGTAAAGAGAAGTTTGGGTCTGTTCAATGTATTTCTAACCGGCAGGTCCTTCAAAGTCATCGATCTGTTTTTGTGCATAATCTGGTTTTACAAGGAACTGCTTGTCCTCTGAAGAGCTTAACACTGACGTCTTTTACAACCGTGAGAAGTTTGTGTCTCAGTTGTGTGACAGCAGGTGTTCTCATAATTGTTAACAAACACACCTTACTGATGAGCATTGATAAACACAAAGAATAGGTTAAGGACAACTTGCTTTTCACTCCCATTTTCGACTCAGTTCACTGTTCCAGGTCAAACATTCGTTTGCTTGAACGTTATCATTTCTTAATCCGGGAGATAAGTCCCCTCATCGAGCAGGAAACATCTATTTGCGATGCAACCACATGAATACGAACACTTCTGCTCGAGCATTCTGTTAACGCTCCCAAGAAACTGGTCAGTGAATCGCCCCCTCCGAATTGTCAGGCTTCAGCGCGTCCGCATTCGCCGAGTCATCGGCTCGTTGACCGTACTTACCTTCACGTGGACTGACGCGCGTGGAATACATCTCACCGAATATCAACAGTCTTGCAAATAGCGATGCAGTACACCTTCCCGGAAGCTATCAGCCTCCTCTCTTCTACACTGAGACTACGCAGACGTTCCTAGGGTACTCGATCACGCTTGGACCTTGGTTACACCAAACGATACCCAGCGTTCTGGACCGAATACTGCCTACATTTGCGAGGGCAACCACACCACTTCTCTTTAGATTGCTTCACCAACAGTGGCTACCAGAATTGGAAGCTCTGTTTCATTACTTTTCTGGTGCATTGCTCTTAGAGTTCAGGTCACTGACAAGAATCCTGACGATCTACTGCCGCGTCCACGCTTTGAAGATCCACGCCACTGGTCAGTGCATATGGATCTCGTCGACCGAGTATATCACTTGGTTAACTAAGAGGGTGTATTGGGTCAAATCTAGCAGGGATACGAGAAGGCTCACCGTCGTTGCATAACTACATCAGCCAGTATTCACAGCTGAACACATCACCTCCGGCTTTCTTTGTCAGTAGCTCAAATAACCACACCACTTAATCCCGCCACGTAGGGATCTTTACGTTGACACCCTGGCAAGTAACTATGATGAGGCACTTAGTTAGCTTAAGAGAGCTACAGTTACTCGTGCTATCGGTTCTCGTAATGATCAATAAACATCCTTAACTGATGAGTCTCGATAAGCACAGAGCATAGGTTAAGGGTTATATATAGTTTCCCATAAACGTTAGGCAGATTACGTTGCAGTTATTCTTCAGAAAACTTAAGACAAGTATTCATTTGGATGTCTTGCAAGCTGCCTATATCGCGAAAAAACTCATAAGCTAGAAGTATAGACAACCTTGAGGCAACTGATATCCCCTCAGAATTTTGAGCCTATGTCACCCAGTGTCGCAGTTAGAGACGTTAACACTGAGCTACTCAGGCCGTGGTCGACCATCTATAGGTCTAGATTAGGTACATTGAGTGGTCACTGAAGATTAACCAACTTTATGTTGTTTAGCACGAATAGCCGACCAAATTCTACTGACCATTTTACAATCTGGTCACTAGGCCAGGAGATTCAGCATACCTATTTACAGAAGGCGAAATATCAATTGCTGACTAGTGTTTGATACTAACTCACTTATATTCCCGAGTCTCTCTATCTATCTGTGTTAATGCAGCAAGTATTTCATAGCTATCTCAGTGGTTTGTGGAGAATCCATTGATTCCAGTGGTTTTAACTATGAGTTGTCATCACCTTATGACTCCATGAAAAACTGATGGCACTAGACAGCTATTTCGTCCTAGTTCGAAGATCCTCAAAAGTGTGCGTTCGTGACCCAGAGATAGATAGTGACAGAGACAGTAAGACCTGTTGATGGTTTATCAATTTAAAAATCTTATGTGTTATAAACTGACTTGAAAATATATGTGGTATGAAGCAGAGATAACTACAACATGAAAATATTTCTATAAACTGTTGTATAACCAAGTAATCACGTGCAACTTTATAGCCATATACAAGTCTATGTACTGGGAAAAGACCACTCATAACACTTCTTGGCTACCCAAATCTCGCTGAATACCCTAACATTTCATTTCACCTTCCTTTGGTTGAAGGTCGGTTACGTAATTCAGTGCGCATACGTTAACATAAGAAACCCTCTACATAATGTAGATAAAATGATGTTAGCTAAAATAGACCAATAATTTAGAGATAATAATGCCCTACACAGTACTAAAAGTCACCCAATTTTCATTATTATTTGTTTAAGCTGAAAAAGTCAGGATAAATTTATTGAACTGAATTACCTCAAAAGCATCATAATCCTCTTGTGTATAGAAACGATAACAGACACCAGGACCTGTTCGACCAGCACGACCTTTACGTTGATTAGCGCTGGCTTTAGATATTGAAAATTCTTTTAAACAACGCATTCTTGCCTTAGAATCCCAGCTTAATTCCTTCACTTTGCCTGAATCTGCTACAAATCTTTTTAAAAAGTAGAAGAGTATAATACTCATAAGACAGGGAATACATAATTTATTGATTGTAAATAGTATTCTATAAGTGAAGTTATGGACAAGTGGCTTATGTATTCAGTAGGCGAATTCAGCAACCCATAACAAGTTTGCCTACCAAAATCTCATAAGTAACACGTAACAGCCTAAGGTAATAACGCCAGCACTTTGCTATTTACTACTAAATAACATAATCAGTTGTCGTTATACAGTGCTCGAAAGCCAGATGCGGGTGACCTAAACACCAGAATCTTGTTTCGATCGATTAGGATCATGTCCATCAATGACGTACGTGGACTGACTGAACTCAGACAAGTAAACTTATCAACATATGCAAATTCTAGCTATCTACCTGACCAGACTGGTCATACATAAAGTTTCGAAATATGAATTGAATCCAACTGAGCAGTTCTCATCTCTCATTGTAAACCTTAAAAGTAAAGTTTGGTTCTAAAAGTTACAGGTTCAGTGATTTATTCAGGGATGGGGACCATTTAGGTTTTCGAGAAAAATTGACACGACAAAATTCTAAAGCAGTGTTTATTTTAATGTCAGCTGGTGAAAGTCAATCTGCAGGAAGACCTGAACCTCGGTTCCGTGATTTTTGGAACTCATCAGCAAGGACTAATTGCAACCATGAGAAAGCTGGTATTCCCTCAGTAGTTTGGATGTGTGTTACTTAGTGCTGAAGTCATAGACTCTATCACTAAGCTGTTCGTGTGATGATCAACCTTCGTACGACTGGATTATGCACATTAATTGGTCACCAGTACTGAACATACAAACTAGACGCCCATATCGTTTTCCTACTGGTAAACAACTCGTGTAAGTAGTGCTGATATCATTATTTTGTAGATGATTAGTTTCACAGTAGTAATATAAAACTTGGTGATAATAAAATAACAATGCATTCACTCGTGGTACCACATACCTTATACCATCGATAGTTAATGAAGTCTCAGCAATATTTGTTGATAAAACACACTTGCGTACACCATCAGGAGCAACATGAAACACTTTATCTTGATCCGACGCAGATAATGCACTATGCAATGGTAAGATAATCCATCGTTTAGTTTCTTCAGCATAGGCTTTAGCTGGTTCCATGATTGTCTTACAAAAAAAGAATGTAACTAATATAAGGTTACTTTTCAAGGGTCCAGTTAAAAACTCAACAGACGAAACATATAGGCAGATGGAGAAATCTATAGAACAAAACGATAGGAGGATAAATGGTTCCTTTCCACACATTATTATCTGGGACCTTCAATCTTCACTCTCAGTTTTCACACAGATGACGCCAAAACGTTTACGTCACCTTATATGACCTACAACAACGGTCACAAAATTTCATGGTTGATTTCACATCTCGGTTTGTAATCTCTTAACTTTCCTCCAGTGTTATCTTATTCTACTTAGCATAGTAAGTTAGGGTAGAAGCTTCTTTGGTATGTGTATGACAGTCCCAGCCCACCTAGTCGATGACGCTTCGTAACTTCATCAGGAAACTTACCTTCCTTACCTGATACTTTATACCTAGCCATTTTGTTGTTCACACACTAGTTCTATAACATATAAACGGTACTGTCAATTAGGAGTTGGCTAAATACATGTCTTCACAAATCCTCTGGTCATATTACTCAAGTACACTATTGAACAACTTGGGTAGTCAGAAACTACTCAGGGTGATCTGAACAATTAGGCTCTATGAGCTGAACTTGTCCAGGATCCATGAAATTAAAGGCCTCAGGACATATCCCAAAGTGGCTTTAGAAGCGAATCGAATTACCTGAACCCATAAACATTAATAGCAGACGTCCAAGTTCTTCGACTGTGAGACATATCCTTGAGACAGGTCACACGATTGACGTTGCTACTTCCTTCAGACCCATTTACAAACCGTATTGGAGATGGATCCTGAAATTTGAGGCCTTAGGTATTAAGAAGTTTAAACCGTCTTTATGTATTCAAAAACAATTTTTTATCACACTAAATCTCGCTAGGTAAGTTCAACTTTGAAACTAAGTTCGATGTGGTATTATTTTCGCAGTATGAATTTTCATTGTTATTTGTTTGGTCTTTAATTCAGCCTTCATACTTGACCTCTTTGCATATTTTCACCCCTTATCTTTATGATAAGTATGTGTATGGCCAGATTGTTCGAAATGTGTTACCCAAATACATTACATGGAACAGACAATTTAATCTTCTCATTGTTTTGTCGAGGTTTCTAAAGGTAACTAATTGTTTTAAATGATATTCATTATTTTCCCAAGGAATTAAAAATAAAGTAGAGTTTTTCCACCTAATGTCTCGTTATTTTATACTAATAACTTTATCAAAGTTATAGTAAACCGGGATTTACAATATCCAACCTTATAAATGACAACTTGATTTGAGTTTTTTTTCCTAGATGGATGAATCTGCGTTGTCAAATTGTTGATAAAGATATAGTCTTCCAGGTGTGATGAGTGAGTGAATTACAGAGTGAGGTTTGCATGAACAGAGGTGCATATAGTTCACAATGTATCTGGAGTTGGGTTAAAAGTTTCATTTGCTTCACATTCATTAGCAAATGCCAGAATAATGCACAACCAACTTATTTTGCTATTTACTAATAGACTACTCAGAAGTAACTTAAGCTAACAAGCAAAATATATTAGTTTATTTGTTGGCATGATGCCAAAACTAACCCAGGCGGGTTAATTAGTATGCATAAAGTGCAAAAGTTAAGTTATTACAATCCAGGTTCAACGTACGAACAAAATGAAGCAGTATTACATTACCAGGAACATGAGGGTAAGATGAATGGATGTAAATAAAACTGATATCAAAGGTTTGTAGCAACATATTTTCACGACTTAGCAATTGGATGGCACAATGTGGCTAAATACTCAATGAAAGTAATCTCTTGTTTTCATTGCTTATGCAAAAAAGTACCAACAGATTCTTAAAAGTTTTTGTACATATATCACTGACAGCTTAAAATGTAGGTCAAATGAAAATCTCCTATCAGGTTGGATAGTAAAGTAATTGCGCTAGATGACTTTGAAGCTAATCAACATGACAGGTAAATGCTCCTGATGGAAAATATTTACTTTGACATATTGGTTGATTTCGTATATCGAAATGACTTGAGGGGGTCTTGTGGTTATCTATCCCATTACTAAGCTTTTTTGCCTTATTACTTAGACATTTAACCAAGCCCAATGTAACTGAGATAGACTCACATGGTTTGAAGTCTACTCAGCGATTCTTATAAGAAGTTTTCCTACGAATACCTGATTGGTTGTTTTATCAGTTTCCAAGGTGGCCTATAGAGTCACCCAACAAAACTAGATCCTCTTCAACACTTTCTAATTCATAGATAAGTTAAATTGCGTTCATTGGTAAATTAATGTGTGCAAAAACCCATGTTGAGGTTTCAGTACTATGCTATAATACGTATGTAAACCATATATTTGAAGCAGGATTAAATGTTTCAAGGGCTGTGCATTCGCAAAGAACCATAAATATGTCTTCGACGATCTGGGATATTGGTGACATCATGACAGCTGTTTCTGTTTGTTTATATAATTTACTTTGGAACTTAAAGACTACAAGGGTCACATACATATACTCCTAGCTTCACTTGCTCGGCTGGTATCTTAATTTAATGAGTAAGCTCAAAGTCATCACTAAGTTTATTGTCAACTGCGTCTAACGCCACTTCGATCGGTATATTTGCATAAAGGCTAGTTACATCGAAACTAACCATTTTCCATTATTAGCTAATTGTATATCACAATCTATGATTTAAGTTATACGAATTAGTAAGTTTACATTTTGAAAAGCTTCTAATTAAATCTAATATCATCGCTAAATATTTTGACAACTCATAGGTAATAGGGTTTCTTAAATCAAATATGGTTTTGATGACACAGTATGGTTTAGGAATCTTAGTAGTGCCATAAATTCTACTACAATTATTAGTTTTTAGAATTATATTTGACTCAACTGGTCAAATAAATAGGTTAAAGTAGTCAACCAGGATTAACTAGGCTGTTCGAAGACAAGAACTTAGCTGAATCACTACTGATAAGTCCTAATAAGATAAGGAGTCTAGAGAAAAGTCGAGCAATAACTGTGCATGCACACAATCACACAATACAATGGGATAGACTAACAGTGTTAAAAACTAACTTGGTATGGTGGAGGAAGAGATTGATAACTGAATCTTCGTCTATCAAATCAATACTACATACACGTAATAGAAATGAATCAGCACATATTTCAAGTATCTGGAAAATTTCACTTCCCCATCAAAACGGATGAGAAGTAAATAGAATTATATACATATATGTCTCAGAGATGTGGGGTTACCTTGATATGAATATAAATAATAAACTGTGTTCAGTGCGTTATTCGGTAAATACTACTGTTTCGCTGTGTGATACATCTAATAAGCAAAATAAACTAGAATTGTAATTGACCACAGTGTCCAAGTTTTATTCCTATGTTAATACTGGTATTAGTTACTACTTTTTCAAGACCGGATATTCTAGGAAGTCGAGGCAACTTTAGTTCAGTAAGCCTGTAACACAGTCTTTGAATATTTTACTGATAGTCCTAACTGTCTTAACTGAAATGAAAAAACCACGTACATGATAGTATACCGAGTAGTGAGCTAAGCGTTTCATTTGTTGGATTATAGTGTTAGCTTTCAGCCAAAACTTTGGTATACGAAGGACGATTCAAATCCTTAATCCACAAACTGAATGCCAACATTCCGATTGATTGAGTGAAAGTTTAATCCATCTAAACTACGGAAGGAAGCACACTAATTTTAATAGATTTTAGAACATCATTTTGAGTTATCATTAATCTCTGATTATCTTCTCTTAAACATTATAGTGAGTGTGACTTGATAAATTTACCTTTTAATTTACAAGGAACCGTCTGTGCATAAAGATGTGACAAAATGGTAGTAGATAAACTCACTTGAATGTCTGCCATTCCAGACAAGAATATTAGAAGATCACCGCGTTCAGTAGCTGGATAAGTCATATCTATTCGTCTTAGTAGACGAATATACGGTGCCGGATCAATTCGATCAGTTGTATTAGCGATTTCAACTGGACTGAGAGGAATGTAATGCAAGTCTATGGGATACAGTCGTCCAGGCACCTGTTCATTTCATCGGGAAAAAAAAACAAAATAAGAGAAATAGTGAGGTCTACGGGAACTGTGTTAGAAAACCAATATTCAACACTATCCAATAACGTAGAAAAAAAGTAAGAAGGCATTTCTTCACCGGAAAACTCTTGACTTCTCAGTAGAGATAAGGACTTTATCCAAAATCCATGTATAAACTCATACCTTTTGAACTTTTTCAATGTAGAGATTATTTTATCATACACAGTAATAAACAATATGAAATAAACATCAATGAATGTGGAAGTAAGTCGTTGTCATTAGCGGTATCAGGAAAATGGACAAAAAGACCAGTTTGAAAAGGTGACTCAAGAGTGAACAGATGCAGTGTACAACCAGCTTATAAGTCGATAGTTGTTGTGTTGGGGATAGCGAATGAATGTGTTTTACATGCTTACAGTCTCTAGCACGTTCTACCAGAGGATAGAAGTAACTTACAATCAAATATCTACACTACCAGTCTTCCAGATGCGAAGTATGTATACCAGTTACAACATTTTCAATCGAAACTTATTTAATATATTTCTGAACCAAAACAGATCTAATAAAAGACAAGACCAATAAATGATATTTGACGAAAGGATGAAAAAAACTGAGATGAAATGAGAGTTGTCGAGAAAACCTCATATTGTCTAGTCCTGAGTCTTGACCAAATTCTGTCAGTCATTTTACAACGCGGTTATTACGATAGGAGGCTCACTATCGCAGTCTACTTTGATGGATGTTAGTTAGTTGGAGGTAATCAGCACGAAATCATGCTTGTTGGCACTCGTCATCAAGGCGTCAACAAACATGAAACCTAGATCCGAGGATTCCAGACGATTGCCTGCAACCAACTAACATTAAATACCTGTATTTACACTATCACAGTCATCGTAACATAGACTCAGTTGTACTTAAAAGATAGCTAATAGTCAAAGTGACAGAACAGTAGTAATCAACGAGAATATCATTACACATGTAGGCACTTTTTCCTGACAAGCTACGACAACTCATGCATGCATCACATGTCAGTCGTGACAATTAAAACTAATCACAAACCCATTCAAAGAAGCCTTCATTACTTTGTCTTACTTCTTGATAATACAAGGAACAAGAAAACTTCAGCTCGATCGCTACTGATTTCGATTCTGAGCCATGTTTGCTAGCGTATCAAGCCATCAAGTTTCTCGAACCCCATAGATACTAATCCAGCACAACTGGCCTTTATATAAAAGTGCCACATCATACACTGGTCTCCACTTCTTCCAACCAATCCCAGTGCAAGTGAATAATGAAAGGTGTTAGAGTCCCTAGAATGATATGTGTAATACAAGCTACTGAAGCCGGCGTCCCAATAGGACTTCACTCAATAGCTGACAATCTTCATCACACCCAAACATACATCTTACATCAGAACTACATGTATAATATCTCCCCAGGATACTAGCGATCCTGCAGAAATAACGGTGATCGAACACGTAGCTGTCACAAATTGTCAGCCCGGAGAGGTCATGTTTCATAAGCAAAGAGCAAACCTGCCTGCGCTGATTCATTGTATAATCAACTTTTTGCGGTAAGGTTAACATCAAGACGACGCCAAAGGTGATTCAGACTGGCGTAACCACTCCAGCTTTCGATAAACGGTTGGAAATATCACCAGGGAACACCGACATTTCGACAACTTCCAAAAGTTCACCGCTAAGGGTGAGTGTAAATACAAGCTCCTGTCAATCTTGCAGAAATACTTTGTACTTCAACAGTGAAAAGTGTATATCATACTTACGCAGTCAGTACGCTAAATTCCATAACTGTTCCACATAATCTGACTCATGAAATATACATAGAATGGATGTAATTAGGGTTACTGAGACGTCTACGTACATTTAGGTAACTCCATCAGTCATCTGGACTGTCTAAAATGCAATGACAACACCACCTAAGCACTGGCCTCCTGACATGGTCATAATTTGAATGAATGGGTATAAATGTAATGGTATCTAGCCAATGCTAAGTGAAATGAAAATCTGGGCCACGACGGGATTCGAACCAGCAACCTCCGGGTAGACCCGGATACCCAGATTTCCGTTTCAACTTCAATAACCACCCAGTATCAATACAAGTTTGTCAAACAACGGCTATCTCAGATAGTCAAAATGATAATCATTGTGATGTTTCCCCTCTCTAATTCAAGCAGATTTGGATTGGGATGAGAATTCCTGACTGAGCAGCCAGTATGAGTACGATCACATTACAGCAACACGTAACGAATTTACATGCCAGTCGGGCGAAACCCCCAGTAATTGGAGCGAAATAAAAATATGGTCAACAGTCGGGTCTTGTAGAGCATCGCCCTGGAAATCCGGTGGTCGAGAGTTCGATAGTCAAGCTGATATCTGGTTAATCATAAACTAGATTAGATGACCACGTGGAATACTCCATCTCAAGAGAGACAATTCACAAAAATTGAGTGATAAGTTTACACAACTCAAAAAAATGAGTATCAGAAGACTGAACAGTTTGCCATATGACTGAGAATGTATGCCTCAGTCGTATTTAAGAACCAAGATTATTTCTGAAAAAAACCTACTTATGTACAGAGATGTCATCAAAATAAAATGATTATAACCTGACCTTCAGACAATAAGTAGACAACCAAAGATAATACGTAACTCAGTAGATAGATTTAAGTCTTGGAGAAAAAGACTGGAGGATTTTTTTCAATTCAAGGAGATACAGGACAGCTTAAATATCTCCAAAACATTTTCAGTGTTATTTGATGCATCCTTTTATTCATATATGCTCCATTTGATGAAGTAATCGAGATGTTTGGTCGATATTTAAAGGAATTCAGAATACGTACAGCAGAAGGCTATGACTAGTTTAATCTCCTCTGGTAATACTAGTTAATTTGCTCTGATAACATGGTCTTTTTTCCACACCATCGTCTGGTTCACTTCTTTCTAAAGAAGACGTCTCTACCGAAAACTCGATGCAGTGGCTGCGAGGTGTCCACTTGGACCTATTCTTGCTAATATATTCATGACAAATTTGAAAGCTAGTAGAATAAAGCCAGTAATTAATGATATCATCTTTTACATGAGGTATTTGGATACAAAGCACCTTTCGAAAATATTTTGAATTTTCAACCAAAAGTATCATTATATAAGCTTTGCAACAAAATATAAGCATAACAACGGCTTCAGTTTTCTGTATTTATCCATCAGAAGGAGAGAGGAACGTATGATGAAGAGAGAGACAGATCGTAAGGGCACTTGGACCAGATAGTATTTAAATTACAGGTTTTTTCACACTAAACTACAAAAGTGGATTAGTCAATTTGCTATCTGACGAAGCTAGACAAAAAACCAACGTAGGACCTGGCACAGAAGTGTATCACTCCAAGTTATCATAGCGGTATGCAAAAAAGAAGTGAATGAAAAAAGTGACACTACAGTAGAAAAACGTGTGGGAAATGAGAGAGAATAAAAAGATGAAAGTCAGTGGGAATATTCACGACTTTGAAGATGACGAAGAGTGTACACAACTGGTCCATTTTGAACGACTTTTAGCAATATTAGCAAGAGTTTTCAACTGTTGATTCCTATCAACTCAAGGACCCCAGTCTACACATTCGTATATGTATCAGACCAATAGTCAAAGACTTCGTGAACTCGTGACACATTTTGGTTAGTTCACCTACAGCAAACCTAATTTTATTTCGGCTAAAATCTAACATCGAAGTAAGCGGTATCTTGGTATTAGAATCACGTGTCCAAGCCACCTCAGTCGTTGAGGCCTTAAACCCCTATCAACTGAATTATCATCCTTGTCTATTAATCAGCGCCTTTTTTGCACGATGATTTCAATACATATGAGTAATGCTACGAAGAAATTTATGGTCACAGAGTTGCTATTTAATAGAGTAAGAAAATGCTGCCCTGAAAACAAAACGGATAATAATTTAACTGTTCTTGGGATTTTACTGTCTGAATCCATTAATAAATATGCTAAATGATAAGCAAATAAGAAAAATGCTGCTAAATTTGGGAAAGTTTGTTTTCAGTCAGTTGTGTGTTCAAACGAGATGATATTCCGGAATGAGTGAACAAAAGATTACAATTTTTCTTTGACATAACTTATCCAGCAAATAAACTTGTTCCTGTGTATAGCACTAAGTGTGCTTTTTCTTAACAGAAAGAGGACAAGTTCCTATATCAACACATTTCCAAATGCGTTTGACAAAATTCACATCTACTTTCCCAAAGAAAGCATATTAGAAGGAGGGAAATATGGGCTTTAATCGTCTTCTCCAAGCAAATTATGAAAGATCTTTGACTAGCAGGATCTCACTCATTTAAAAATGCAACTACTCAGTGTCTAGTCAATTCAGAACATCATGTATGCATATTCACTGCCTTGAAAATAACCAATAAGTAAAGAAATTCAGAATATGTACAACAGCAGGCTATGACTAGTTCAATCTCCTCTGGTAATATTAATTACTTTGATCCGATAACATGGTCTTTTTTCTACACCTTTGGGATTGCAATCTGATCTACTTCCATACGTAATATTTACCAGTTTTTTTCTGTTAAGTATCAAACGAATGTTTTGTACACGATTCACTAAAACTGTAGGATCTTTTCAACCATCTATGAATTAATATCTTTATTCCAATTTCACTTATAAATATGGTAATATCATTCAATACCTTTGTGTTTTGTCGAATCTAACCAATTTCAATGTTCTTGTTGCTCAGTAGGTTTTTTATTCTAGTTTCATTTTTTATGTATATTTCAGGTTGTTAGCAAATGAAGAGAAGCTTTGAAATAAAATAGGGTTATCTTATCCTACAAATGTGGATCCTTTTCTTTAAATGAGACTGATTAGAATTAAGCGTTGTATGAAGAGGTAAGGTGGCAGTTTAAGCTCCAACTTCGGAACAGCTGTGGACTATTGAATTACTGATGCGCCGTTCACAAGAAGCTTACAGTATGATAGACAAGAAGCAGTTTACTTCTACAAATATCTTTTTAATCATGACACTAACATTCTTCCGAATAAACATTATTTATGTTCCAAATCCTTATTATTCAGCAATGCAGGATATAAAAACGATTAAAGGAGGCGCTGTTACTATAGTCTTTGAGTAAATGCGAAGGTAATCAATTTACTGAATTTTTTGATGTTACTTTCTTTGATGGTGACTGAGAGTAGGATCTAGAGCACACGTTTTTTCCAACTTCAGACTTTTACCTGTACCCCACTCAGTGGTTGCATTTCCCTGTGACTCAAATCGTCCAAACGTCGCTTCAAATGTCAGTCCATTAGCCACTAGTCTACTATACTGTGACAGTCACATGGTATGCAATGGATATTAGTTGTTACTTATTGATAGTTTCAATTTCCAGTTTTTGATTTTACCAGACTGAACTGATAGATCTTTTTTAGCTTATAGGCTACTCGAACGGATGCTTCGATATTGCCATCAACTTAATCTTGTTTATGATTACTGGCAAAGAGTGCTGGATTCAATTCTCAGTGGAAACACCGTCAACAGGAAGTACATCCATTTGATAAGTTTTAAATAGGATGAAAGACATTTCCTGGATCCTACTGCCACACTCTCCCAACCATTAAACATTAAAACAGACCTAAAAACCAGTATCTAGACACCCGCTTTTAAAAAGTTCACATGCCGACAAAGACTGACCGACTCGGTCAGCAAATATTAGTCAATAGCTAACTCCTATGTATGAAGAAGAGTCTTTTGCAATGTGACAATACCCACTTATTTCAGATAAAAGTAGTACAACGTACCTGTATAATTGGACAATCGTTAAAAAATCTAGAAAAGGTATTCACATTTATTGTAGCCGACATAAGAACAACACGTAGTTTTGGACGTGCCATAATGAGACATTTAACAAGTCCCAGTAAACAATCCGTTTGCCAATGCCGTTCGTGTACCTACAGAAGAATGAGGTAGATAGATATGTAGTAAAATGAGTAATGAAATAAGTATGGAAACTGAGTACATATGATATGAAGCTGATGACTTAAGAAGATGATGATGCGAAAACTTGGAAATAAAAAGAAATACGATGAACTTTACGTTGTCAAAAAATATTCATGAACTCAAGTTCGAAAATAAATACAGATGAATCCGAACTAGGGAGATTTGCAATACTCTTATCTTACCATATTTTATCTTAAAAGCTTACATCATTTATGGAACTGGCGAGATACCCAGCCGTCTACAAAAAGGTTCAGAGTACTATCCTGCAGTTGACTTTGTTTTGCTATATGACTTTAAAATATGACCATTAAGGGTGGAGGGTATGAGAAGGATATAGGTGTAGAATCACCAATGTACTCATAGCACTGCCCGTGTATTGTGGTATCACAACGCTATAAACGTAAAAGTCAAAAGTAGAGTTATAGGTGAACAAGGTTAGTCAGTTATGGTGGTTGTTAGTCTTTATCCGCTTAGATGGCTGGAACATGTGTTATGCATGTCTAGACATAGTCTACTCATCAAGCAATGTCAGCTGAAGTGGGTTTAGGCTGGAAAAGGTTGACGGGCAACCAGAAGGAAAGGTGGTGATAGTTCATAACATCTGTGATTGTTGTTCTGAGCCGTGTATGTAGTGGTAGACTATACACTTGAGGTTTGTAGGACAACCAAAATCCATGTTTGGACAGTTAGAGCGATATGGCTCACAGTCGATCTGCAGCGCAGATGTTTCCATACATTATACTCATCTGAATCGTAATACTGAATTTAACTACAGTCTCATTCGTCTTCACTGTCTTTTCCCGACTTTACTTGTTTTCCTTATTCTTTCATCTTGACGAATTCTCCTTTGATATTATTATTATTATTAGTCCCTTGGGTTCCTAGTGGAGCACAGGGCTTCAGTAGCCCGTCTCTAGTGACCTCTGTTCTCTGAGATCTTTTAAACCTGGTTCCACGACAGCCCAGAAGCTCTCATTTCCTCCTCGCACGATCTCCTCCATGTCACCCTCGGCACCGACGTCCAACTCGTCGCTTCCCATGGGGATTCCACTGTGTGGTGTGGCAATATTGAATCTTTGCGTAGGAATACAACATCTTATGTCCATATTGACTAGATAATATTTTGTTTCAAAAAGGTAACGAGTTTGTAAGAAGTAACAACCACGAAGTATTCACTAAATCAAATAAGGTGTTTCCAGTTACTAAGTTACTTCTGGTATAAGAAACAAAATCGCTCATTTAGATAACTGAAAGTAGACTGAACTAGGTCAATCTCACCAAAGTTTATTATTTTATATGCAAGTAATAAACCAATCATGTTGCAAGAAAAGAGAGAACGATCAGTTTTTAGCGTTTCTGAACACCTTCCAAGATAGCAGCAACTCAATAATGTTCATGTTTCTAGTTGTTCAATCACTCGATATCTGTTTGATGATGATGTAGATTAAAGTTCATTTATTGAAATTGCACAAGGTTAGTCATAAAATAGATTTGAATTCAGTGTGCTTTACACTAACAGAGACTATTATTAAATAACTGAGATTAAACTGAGACATATTTACCAAGAAATAATCGCCAACTTTTTATGATAATTTTACTTTGCTTTATTTCATATTTGGTTACATAATGTTGTTATCTAACATACCGTTAGTAACACCTGTTCATGCTGTTTAGTATGAAAATGTGTTTTATCCTGTAAAGTAGTATAAACAAATTCTTTCCTCTTTAATTGTACTCTTGTAATCCATGTCTTCGCTTTTCAGCTACTAAAAAGGTTTTCTTTTGAGGTGCTTTTAAAATATACATTTTTTCTTCAAGAATATTCATCCGTATATTATCTTGTATATTAAAACATTCATAAACAATACTTGCAACTTCTTTTCTGCAGTTCGACTGAGACCACTTAGACAACATTCATATTATCTTTTGTTTTAGTCAGTATTTCCTAACCAACTGGACAAAAGTATGTAGGTATCTCTATTAAAGTCTTATTAAGCTATAATCCGATAATGGAGGATTCCCTAGGAAATTCCTAATTTAAAGTACATTAATATTATTGGTCTCAGTCTAGTAAAACTAATTAAGGGAATGAATCGTGTAGCGTAGTGAAAAACAAAGATAATATTGTAATCCCATTTTAGTATGTTTATTAGAAATATCACACAGTGAAACAGTAGCATTTACTGAGTAACGTTTCGGACACAATTTATTGTCCATATTCATATCATGACAACAAATTGTGTCCGAAACGTTATCCAGTAAATGCTACTGTTTCACTGTGTGACATCTCTAATAAACAGACTAAAATGGAATTAAAATCGACCACAGTGCCAAAGTTTTACTCTTATATTAAAGGTAACATTAGTTAGTATATTAGACATTAAGTTTACTAGTCACTGGAGAGCAATCAATTTCAAGTTAGCTGTTCATGAGTGCTGACCGAATTCTATGGATAGTTTTGCAATGCGACCACCACCTAGGACACTCACTATTGCCGTGTACTTTGATGGACGTCACTTGATTGGAGGCAATTAAGAGGAAGCCCTAGACCAAGGCGTATCAGCAACATCAATGGGACTGATTTTCCCTCAGAGATTCGAATCTGCGTCATCAGGTGTTGCAGTCAGTGACGTTACCACTGAGCTATTTGGGTCGCGATTCATACCCTGCACAACTGAGTTACAAACATTGATTGGTCACTAGAGAGAAACCAATTTCATGTTATCCAGCCTTAAGTCCTGACCAAATTATATCGATCACAAATTAATCTTACATTGCATCGCTACATCTTAATACCTACAGTCAAATAAATTTTCTAATGCGAATCCATTTTTCATCAGGGACATTAGTTCCCTCAAGGTTGCAGATACACCTTGTTAACCAGTGCAAGCAAGCATAAAGCCCGATTGAAGCTGGGCTTCCTAACGATCGCTCCCAACCAAATAACACATTTTACTTTATGATGATTATCAAAATTGGATGAAGCAGGTAGAGTACTTATGGTATAGCCTTTATTATGTCCTGTCCAGATCAACCTAGGACCAGGCATTACTGCGTAACTATCCGAGTTGCCACACCTTATATCAGTACATCAAATAAAAAGGCAGTGAGGTGCAAGATGAAGATAAGAGAATGCAGTCAAAAGAAATATAAAGTACGAAAAGAGAGAAACGAAAAATGAGAGCCTTTATTATCGAAGCATGTAACACTGATTCAAGGATTATATTGTATCTATATCAATAGAAACAATCATAGTAATATAAAAAAACTGGAAATATTAATACAAATACAGGCATAGGTAAAAACTGCCAGTAAATCACAGTTCTCAATTACAATGGATGTTTCACTTTATCTTCTACTTTTAAAAGTAGTCAGAGTATAAATAAACAAAATGTCTGACCACCACCAAATTCGTCATGTCAAAGTTTTCAGAGGTGTTGAATTCATCGTATCAGTAAGGTGAAATAGTGTTACGAGCAATTAAACTGTTCAGTGCTATTTTAACTACTTACTACTGAACATTTCTAGAATATAAAAACCTAGTCACAGCATAAATGACACCAATGTTAATATTTAGTCATCAGCTCCGACCGAATTATATATGTGCGATTTGATAGGCAGTATGGCAATAAGGCTATATATATCACAATCACATTTTTAGATGGTCCAAAAGGAACCAGCAATAAATTTTATGTGCATAAATCATTTGTATTCGGTAGCAAAGAGAATCTGTAACTGAGTTCGTGTGGAACTGAGGCTCAGACAATATAGTGGCTCCCATACACTAGTCAATTAGTGTAATTCATTTGGTCTTTCAAGTTTCTGTCATTGTTCAAATAACTCAGTGGTAAGAAACTGAATGAAAGTCTCAGATATCTTGGTTGTATTGTGTTCAGTATGAAGTTAGTGCTGGTGATATCGTCCAGAAAGACGATGAAAGCTTCACGATTAAACAACCGAGCTCAGAGAACACAATACAACTAAGACCATCCACCTGGGCAACAAATATTCTCTATTTTTTCAGTCTCAGATATGGAAGTATAACTAGCTGTACAGACGATGATATCCAGCTAGCTCGTCCAATCCAAACTCTAGCTCATCTAAACACTTAAAGTAGTAGTTAACATTTTCAGTATCTCTAGTGTTTCTTGAATGAAAGCCCAAATAAATTTGAAGGTATCCTGACCAATAATGGACTGGATGGTTTAAAAAAACTTGGACACCGAGTTTGTATGTACACTCAAGTAAATTCCTACTTCGTTTAATTGAATTCGTTTCTTTGACTCCCAAGATTTCGAGAATTATCAGGGGCGTAGCGAAACCAACAAAGCAGATGACGTTGAAGATATCTTTTCTGCTGGCATTTCTCTAAGATTTCTACTCTGAAGGAAAGTGATTTGACTACTTTAAAGAGCACCAATTTACAAAACGTTTCAAAAATCCGATAACTTTTTTCTTCCAGAGAGAAACTTAGTTACAAGAAAAATAACCAAAATCACCTTGCATTGGACAATGAGCACAATAAACTGATGTTCTTCTTCGCATAATTGCTTGAATCTTACTGGATGTGAAATGAAATGTCTTCAGTAAGTAAGGTATCACGATACGATGGTACATGATACTTTTTAATAATGAAACAGTTTAAAGTAGCTGATAACGGTTCCTAGCTGTTAAATATGTAGTACATTTATTATGTCTCCAATCGTCCTGATGAAATGGTACGACCAACGCCTAGCACATTCGACTCTTCCTTCGAAATGACCTTCCATAGGCTCATGTGTTCACTGTCTTCATCATTTATGTCCTGTTGAATGACTAAAGGTGAATGAGCTTATTACTGCATCCATGAACATGGTGAACCCACCCAGAGGGGTTGACGAACTCCAATTTCATACCACTGATAAGCATGGACTTCAAGATTCATGAGGAAAAAGTGGCGTATTAGCTTGATTTTGCAAGGGACGTTCCACAGCCTTGTGGATTGAACTTCAAGTCAAAGGCTGTGAGAAGTGATCTTCTAAAGCGACGACCTCATTCAGTCTTGTGTTTGGTATAACATACTAGGCCAAGCAATTAATTTAAGGACAAATTTATTAGTATCAGTTGATGCGACTTCAGGACTACAAATGATTGCATAACTTAAGATACGACATTTGCAAGGTAGTATTAAAAGTTCTCAACCTATTAAGAACACATCATATCCTTCATTGGTTTATAAGGAAGTGTATTTCGCTTAAGTTTTCGTTACCAATCCATTTAGGAATACGGAAAAGTCCAGTCTATATTTTAAATATAATAAAGCCATCAAATTGAATCGCTTACTTCATCAAGAACTAAAGCATCATAATCACTTAGAAATGGATCCATCTGCATTTGTCGTAACAGTAAGCCCTCAGTGAGAAAAAGGATTTGTGTAGCCTTGGTACGACTGCGTTCAAAGCGAACCTAGAAGAGCATTTTAAAAAGAAAATCTTGAAAGTGGTATATATTTTTAGTGTGATAGACATGGTTAAGGAACATTTGAAACTACATAACAGTCTGATTCGATACCATTTGTGACAGTACATAGACGTAGTTATTTAATGTAGAAACAGAAACTATGATGACAATATCACAAGTGAAATGACACTGTCAACGAAGTCAATAAAAATATGGGAGATTACACCTTTGTTAAAGATAAGGCCTAAATGTACTCAAGCCATGTCACCTACACGTTTCAAGCATCCATTGCTGTTGCTGTGTGGACTTGTACTAAAAAGGCTATATTCTCCTATACCAACATGATCGAAAGTTGAAGACTGCATAAATAGGTGGTATTTCTCAGTTTTATAATCCTTGGTTTCCTCCCAATCTACTTATAATCTAGATAACATTGTGCATTCGATTATATGGTATGGTATATAGTCACATGGAACAAGTGTTTCAGTCACTCCAATCAATAAGAGTGAATGGTTTGGTAACGTGACTTACCCATGGAGCTGTGTTTCAGCAGTTTAAGGAGATGACTATCAACCACTGGGTTACGGGTTAGAATCCCGCTCCGCCTACCGGGGTCTGGACAGCTGGGTGGTATCAAAAGCCCTAACACAATAGGTGTGGCTTATTGCCTACTGAACTAATGTGTACCAGATTGCTGAGCAGGTTTCGTTCCTCGCTTACATAATACCCTTTGATGAACCTCTGGAATAGTGGCTTTATCACATAGGGATGATACTAAAAAGGCAATGGTCGTTAGATATTTGAAGCTTTGAGGCGAAAACGCACTTATATGATAAAGTGAAGGCACAAGTTACTCCAATTATAAATATGACAACAACTACTGATAACAGTAACTGAAGTTAGAAAATTTTACAACCTTTTAGTAGGCTTTCTCATATTTTGCTGTTCATTAAGTTGATGGGAGTGTTCAACCTACGTTTGGAAATAACTTCCTCTGTACAAGCAACTTGGAACTGAGAAGAACGATACAAAAACTACAAAACTGAACGGACAGAGAGATAGAATAAGACTAAACACTGACAGAAAGAAAAACAGTCACAAGAAGTTTGCTGTCAGTTAAAAATGCCACAAGAAGTTGTCTGCTGACTTACTTGATAGCCAACTTTAGAACCTCTTTCATTCAATAATTCAGTACTGACACGTGCAGCTAAACTGATGCAAGCGATACGACGAGGTTGAGTTACTGCGATATGCTGATAAGAATTGGGTCCAGGTGTATCATTTGAACTGGATTCACCATAGTATAAATACTGTGGTACCTGAGTTGATTTCCCACATCCAGTATCACCAGCAACTACAACAACCTGATTATTTGATAACGTGGATATCAACTCGGCTCGAAAACTAGCGATTGGCAGAAGAGTTTGATCTTTTCTAAGTTTAACAATTCGAGCAAACTAGGTTAAAATTAATGTGGGAAAAGAGTACACAAATTGCCTTTAACAACAAAAGCGAGCGAGAGAACTAATTCATTTTGCAAACCTACGGTTAAACTTTACAAAAATTTTGTTTTTTTAATGCATAAATGTACAAACAATATACAAAACGTCACTTGGGAAAATATGTGGAAAAGGGAAGAGTTGTATAGGAAGACTAAGCTAATCAGAAACTGATTAATTCAAACCTATAAAATTCCGATTTAATCCGTGAAGTTTGCAAGGTTTAGATGCTTCCAGATGTCCAGAAGTACCCGCCTTCGTCAACGCCGGAAGCATTGATTAGGCTGTCAAAGTACCAGTGCACACAATCTTCCTTACTTCGTAATAAAGCTGAAAACCATGGAGGAAGGTTTGATTTATGGGTTAGGTATTACAGTGTTTAAAAAGCATTTATCGACTTAAAAAGCAGCCCATAGGTGCTCAATTTTCAAAGTCAGCTTTTGCAACTACACCTGATTGTGTGGTTGAAATTGCAGACTACTGTTATATCAGCCGAAAAGTAGAGAACAAGAATCTCAGACAAGTGTCATTGGCTCTATTTTATTTTATCTAAAATTCTCTTTACTTATGACTTAACTGACAACATTGTTGTATACCACTACTCGTGAGCTTTGGATGGAATTCTTATTCATTTATGTATGACATATAGTTTGGAAATGTTGAGTGAAATCCATTCTTGTGTAGTATTCCATTTTTTGAGCCTGAACTCGGTTGTTTCACTTTGATAAAATATGATACCTTGTGGTCAGGTTATCCATTTGTAAATACAGGTGAATCAGATCGCCTAGAATATACGGACAATAAGCACCAGACTGTATTCTTTTGTACGTAGTTGGGAAAGCAGCAGTGTGTGACTTGTCGAGTGGGTGAATCGAGTCTGTGAGACTGGGTAAGTATGTACGAAACCAGTTACGTGTAAGGTTAGTATTAAAACTGAATCAGCAGAATCACGTGCTTAAAACAATTACAACTAAGCAAAGTCATAACAAATTGGAGAAGTTAACTCAAGAATTTAACAACTACTTTTGACTGCTTTTACAAATAACTGTGAGATCATAGCTACACATAAAAGCCCCACTTTCTCAATACCTTATGCTTTTAGCCTGGCAATTACCACTGAGTTTTCCCTGTCAGAATGAAGTTACAGGAATAGATTTGTGTCCATACGGTTCTCGAAAACACTGCAGTAAGAAATTTAAAGTGACATTTTACTACACGGAGCACAAGATTTCTGTCAATTAGCATGGGGCTAAAAGGAATCTCAGTTTACTGACCATACTGAAAGTGAATGAAAAAAAGCAAACTCATCGAAAAAAACTTCCTCTTTCTCAGCCCCGTCAATCTGAAAATATAGTAAATGAAAGTTTCACCTTTGATGTAAATATAAGGATGAAAGCAAGGTAAGTTAGAAACATTCTATGGTTGTCTGGTTTCATATACAAGTCAGCATGCATTTTTATCCTCTCCTTGATAGTGTTCATAACCAATCAATGGACAGAAAGGACCAACAACATTATCTAAAACGTATGGCAGATTATAGCCTTTAGAAATCTTTATTATTAACACTTTTATCACAAAAGTAATTTGTACTACTGGACTTCAATGTGTAACTACTCATCTTCTATCATCCACGTACATATTGAATTATTTGCTTCCGCGTTAGCGGATCAGTCTTGTTTTAATGATTGACATTACAGCATTAATAATACTTCTAAGTGGTCAATATTCATCTCATTATTATGCACTTGCTACCAACCACACAAAGGTTACCAGCAAAGATTCAGACCACAACGGTAACTTATAACAGTTGTAATGTCATATGTTTATTTACAGGCAACATAGTAAACACAGGCATATCTTTTGAAGACAGTGTGACATCTCTTAAGTCGAGAATGTCAAATGAAGGATAACGCAAATACCTTGAAACAGATCGCCGCTGTAGTTATAATACTAAGTGCATTTCTAGGGAAATGAGTTCTCTAAACGTAATCTTATGAATAAATGAGTTTTATGTGATGGTATATTGATGTTCTCTAACAACTTATGTGGACAGGGCAAAGCACAGAGGTCAAAACTGTGAGAGTATATTTTAACACAATCACTGTCTAGAGGTAGTATTCATCATGGACTGACATCAGTTGGTTCACAATTTCCAACTTCTCCCGTGAAACCTGAAGGTACTGAGTTCGATCTCTAGCCGGGTCGTGAGTGCGTAGTGCCAAGGAGTCCCATACTAGGACGAAACAGCTGTTCAGTACTCTAAGATTTTTAATGGCCCCCAACTGATGTCAGTCCATGATGAATACTACCAAGAAATTAAAAATCCCCATTTATCTCAAAAATAACCACTCTGTTTAAAAAATCAAAACTATTTAGGTCAATGGTAAGGTTTTCATGTTTAACTAGAATGATAAACAACGAATGAAAATAACTTCAGACATGTTATGATGGCATGTCACCTCGAGTCCCTGGATTCTATAAACAATATATGAGTAAACTAATGGGAAATAAAGCAGAAATAACGAAAACAGTGGCCAAAATATAAGTATGGAACGCAAGAGAATATAAGATTGTGAGTGAAAAAGTTACCCATTATTTTTGGCAAGACAGACAGAAACAACAAAGCGGAATGTCTAGCAAAAGAGTGAATTCAGTTGCACCTCTGAGAATATTTTGAGCCGTATGGGAAGAAGTTTACCAATGCATATTTGAGTTATCTAGCTAACCTGGACCAGGCACCTTTTAGCTTTCCATAGGATTTATACTCGTCATCGGTTTTTAAATGAAAAGTTTTAGTGTGACATTGTTAAGGTCAAAGTCTAGGTGGTGAAACTATCTAGTCTTGTGGATATTCGCAAGGAAATACCTGTCCTAACTTGGGCCGTTATTCATTTCGGTGCAAAAAGTAACACGTGTTTACTGCGGAAATTCCCCACCGAAGCATAACGACAGAAACTGAGTACATGACACTCATCGATATCGAAGCTGCGAACGAAGCAAAAAGATGGCTGCACACATTCTTACCAGTCTAAAAATACTGCATACTCAATACATAAAATATGCCAGGCAGAAAAAATTCAGGAACACAAGTGCCATCAGATACGATACACTGAGTGTGGAATGAAGCTTAATTACTTACAGGGACATATATCACTTCCATTCAGATTGCCTTCTGGGACGAACTTGAAGTGTAAAAGCGTTTTCCCTAGTGAATACTAAAACTATTTAAACCTCATAAAAATGAAAAGAAAACCAGGGGACGTTTGCCAACACTGGCTGTCAAAACGCCACTTCATATCCTCAAAGAACGACTTAAATACAAATGAGATTTATGTCATTTCACAAACAAAATGTGCCTTTCGTGCTTCATTTACTGTTTTAGCACTAATTCATGATCGAAACTAGACTAACCAATGGAGTAATATTATTTAACTACTTACAACCTGGTCAACAAATTAAATTTTCACAGGAAATCAAAGGGTTAAAGTTAATAAAAGCGAGTCAACTTGCCTGCCCGGACACAAAATCTTGACTAAAACAAGGTAGCCTCACATCATAAAATAATGTAACTGTCTCTAATAATCACCCTACTGTCCCAAAATGTGTATAAAGACAGTTTGAAAGCCATATGGGTTAAAGGAACCCATTTAAAAGTTGCACAATTATCGCTAGTGCAGACTAACAGATGGATAATACAAGAGTAAATATCATAAAATTATTATGTTAGAACCATCACTAGCATATATTTACTAGTATGGACTTCCACGGATACTGGTTGTAAAAGGAAATGAAAATCAATGAAGAAAAAATTAAACTTTAAAGACACACCTAAAAAATGTTAACGTTCGTACTTGAGTGAAGGATAGTAAACATACCTTGCGCTTCTGAAGAAAATCGAGATACATGTCATAGACAAGATGGAAGCATTCAAGTTCTGCAGGGTTGAGTGACCTGGATGAATGAGCTTAAAATGATAAGTGAAAGCTATAAACCTCACTTGCAACATCATTGTGTCTAATAAAATCCTCTAGACGGTAATTACGAGTGCTTATATTAAGCTTTGACTTTTTGCTTGAAAGACATCCGTTGGACCCTTAAATAAAATTCGGATTTAAAATCAGCTCACCTTCAGAGCAACTTCTACGGACAACCTTCTGTAATCTCAGTAAGAATTTCCAAAACTCGTCATAGGCGCTTGTATCTCTATCAGAATCATCCTATTAATTATGAGTGTGCTAACCGAGCAACAACAGCCGACTTTGAATCTGGGAAGAATATTTCTGTTAATCGCTTTTTATGTGAAATGAAGTCCGCCAAGACATCGTCATCCTTCATCGAAGCAACGCACATGTAGAAAAGTTGCCAAGGCTATTTGTTGTAACCAATCCAATATCCAATATCTGTAAAAGTAGCTTGTGTAAACCAGTCGGTTTTTTCCTGCTCGCTTCTCGATCTAGCGGGACGGTTCAAGGTTTTTGGCAGATTTCAATGCAGTGGATTTAACCACTTGTCTGCTATAGCTGTGGTATACAGAACAGGAGGTTGTGTTGGTTAGTTTCCTTAGACTGTGGTGCAGTTGGATTCTTCAGATGTCGAGTTGCCAGAGAGTTTTTCGGACTGGTCGTAAGGGGGAGCTAGGGATGGCAAAGGGAAAACCTAGAAACACAAATGTATGTGAGTAAAAGGCAAAGAAAAGTAAACTACTTACACCCAAGTAGAGAGAGAGGGGTGCAGAGATATGAAGAGCTTAGGTAGGTGAGGGCAATTTATAGAAAGTGAAGGGAATGTAAAAAGCTTAAATGACCGCAGTAGAAAGAAAACTGGTGTAGAGGCAACGTAGTCTGAATGGTGTGACAGCAGCTGATTTCTTCGGTCTAGTTAGTATTCCAACTAGATGTGCGCAAACCGTGGGTCTCAGTGTGACTGTTTAGCCTTTCTTGAAACGTTCAGCAGACGTGGTGGAGACTATCTCTACTGGTAATGCATTCCAATGGCAGCAGACTTGAAGAGAGAAGAAGCGTGAATGCACATGAGTTTTGACCTTTGGTGGGCAATTCTCTTTAGGTTTCCAAGAGGATCACCGTAGTGGCCACCCTGCAGTATTCCTCTGTTCGGGTGACTTCGGTTGTTTCTGGTATTTTATACGCCATTATCAAGTCACCTCGTAGGCTTCGGCAACTAAGAGAGTATAGGCCTAGGTCTTTCGGTCTATCCTCATATGGTTTTTGTCGCATCCCAACAACCCCTTTCGTGGCTCGCCGCTGAACTTTCTCCAGTAGATTCGGACCTCTTCTCAGTTGTGGTGGACCGAAGACGTTGTTGACTCACAAGTGGGGTCGAATGTAGGTCTTGCAGAGTTTCAACAAGAGCCCTAGGGCGGTGGCACACAGCTGTCTGCCCACCACGTGTAGTACACCTTGTAGCTTTGAGGCATCTTCTGGGTAGTTGGAACTGGTGCCATGTTTCTCTGTCACTAAATACGCAGGCCTTTTTCTGCTGCGGTATGAGGTAGATTTGAGCCACAAAGAAGGTAGGACGCTTTCTGTGGATCAGGAGTTCAGAAAAACATGGACCGGCATTTATTCAGGGCAAATGTCAATTAGTTATTTGTTGCCCATTCCTCCAATGTCCAACATCCTTTTCTCATTTGTTAGTGTAAAGCATTTGGTTTCTAAATGACCGATTTTCAGTTTTTTGAGATTTTTAGGGATTAAAAAGATTCTGGCTTAGTATATCAGGCCGAAAGCCCCATTTGTATCTATCGGACTGACGTGGGACTCACGGAATCACCGTTTACCAATTCCACAACTCGAAGTTTGGGGTTTGAACTGCAAGAAGTTATCGGATTTATTTGCGAGGCAGTGTACGGTTTGCGTGAGACACTGGTGATCCCAAAAGCAGTGAGTACCGCCTCGCCACGCATCCGCGCAGAGTTTGTAAAAATAGATGGCATGTGTCAGCGGAGAGTAAGGATCAAAAAGGAATGGAGTCAAAGGAGTCGTCAGTGGTTAACTGGAGTTGCGTCAGCTAGACGTAGAGCGGATTTCCTTATCTTCTAGTATTCATGTGGCACAGTTTTGGCCTGTAAGTTCCCTCAGTCTCCTTTCTGTGATGCCTCCTTGAAATTTGGGGAGAGGTATTTTTCCTATTTGAGCCCATCAGGCCTAAAGCAACAACGAGGTAAACCATTGGTGATTAGTGACCTTCGAAAAAGAAGTGAAAGTATCAAATTTAGCTACATTATTGGAATCTGGTGGGCTCAGATATTCAGGCCCATTGTGTTTTCTCTCCCATCACATAACTGACTTCAAAGTCAGGACGAAATACCTTTAGGTTTCGAGAAGTTTCAAGTGGTTTGTGACGGAACAGAAAAAGACTTCGCTCAACTGGCTTCCACCTCTGGAATCCGTGCACCACTATCTTCTGGGTTTAAGAACCGAGGTGTATTGGCTAAGAACGAATAAACGACAGAAAGTTACTAGTTACTCAGCCTCCAGGTTGAAGCTATGACCTGAGGCTACCACCGACTTTGTGCGAGAATAACTCTGATATGGCTCAAAAAACTCTGCCGATAGATCATTTCAAACCGTAACAACCTCCACAGAGTCGAAATCACGCGTGATACCCGTCCCCTTTGTGTTCGGGCCTTGACTTCTGATCATTCCTCAACGAATGTCATCAGAACTCATGTGAAGCAAATAATAAGTCGAATGCTCTGGAGTATTTCAGGCGTTGTACTCAGTATTAGGCCGTTTCAGCCACTCATGCTCTAACGAATGCAGAACAAGTGCATTGGTGCATTTCTTTCATTGTTTGGACTTTGATCTTACAGATGATGAGGTGCAGTGCTTCTGAATACTGAATTGTTCTCATCATTTTGAAGCAGTGAGGTGAAGACTGTTTTCAATTCTGTCTGAGGGCTGCCCCTAACTGATGGAGATATGGTGTAGACACCTGGTATTCAACAGTCAAGAGGCTCAGCGCAGAGATACAGGTGTCAGATTGTCGTAGACAACATTTTTGCCACAGTCAGCGTAGGATTTGAAGTAGCCGGAGGATGAAACCGCAAGATCCTTTTTCATTGAAGATGTCTTAAGATGATTCTCACTCATATTGAATGTGTAACTCATGCTATACTGCAGAACGACCACCTCGGATTTTTCACGGCTGCTGGTCAGCCCACTCCAACTTTCTGCACATGAAGTCAAGTCAGATGATATTGCAAACTTGACCTGTCAATTTTGCCGCCGATATATGCGTATACCAAAATGCTATCGGCAAAGAGAGGGATTTTAGAGGACGCGTGCGTCAGAAGAGTTCGCGCAGTGAAACTTTTGATACAGATAGTATTGGAGCTCCAAAGTGAAGGACTAAAACTCACGTGTGTTATGTTGAGATCTTGTACAAAGATACGTGTAGTGAATGAAGCTATGTGATGTAATAAAAAGGAATGTCCCAATACAGCTAGTATCCTAGACCTATAGCTGATTTGTAATGTCACTGACAGAAACTTTCAACTTTAAGAAATCCATCGTCGTAGAACCGACGGAAGAAATCGTAGGAAAAGTGGTGTCATAAAACCAATACTTTAAGACAGCTAGGTCGTCCATCGAAATGCAAGTAACAAGGCACAAAGTCGGTCGTATTAAACTGTAGCAACATTTTCGAGGTGGAAGTCCTATTCCTGGAGTTGAACCATTTTGCAGATTCAAGCGGATGGTCAGTTGTGGTGGATGCCAATGCACCATTAGTCGAACCAGACATCCTAGCAACGGAACCACCGGGTTACTCACTTTACCGTCTGTTGGTAAAGGCACCTATTTCTTCCGCTGTTTCGTGGCTTGTCACGGCAACAAACCATCGTGATTGTCGTCGCGTCTCATCACCTTCATGCTTAGTTAACGCTTATGGGCACGATTAACTTCATCTGATATGACACACTACCTGAAAAGAATTGTCAAAGGGTAACCAGAGTTGTAATCAGTTTCTGTGCCCTGTCACCCTGGCACTCCAGCTACATCCAATTAGTGGTGGCGGAAGATAGACAATAATCACTTGATAGACTGCTCAGTCGATCAAAATGTCAACCTGACTGCTCCAGTTGCAACCGAGCAGTGTCCCTTCAAACATCTGTACGCTGGAGTGACTAACCGTTCACTCCCTGAACTGTCTTTACGGGATGGGTACACTGTCGTCCTCCGATAGTTGTTAAGACTTGCTGCATACCACAATGAGAGAGAAGGCTGTAGTCTTATAATTTCTGGGGTAAAAGGGTTGCGCAGAACGGCCCAAAATAAATGCATCACTTTGTTTTTTTGGTCCCGAATATCTTTCGGAGTCCATCCTCCTCGAATCCTGGCGGAACAACTAATTAAAACCTCTTCTTGCCGGAATTACGGGATTAAAATATAATATGGTGTTCCTGACCAAATTAGATAAACGGGAACTACTCAACTAGTTGGGAGAAGAGGAGGAAGAAGCCAAAACTGAGTATTTTACTGAAACCTCCGCAAGTAAACCTTTAATAAGCTGGGTTTTAATGGCGCTAGCACGGGACGGAATCTGTGGAAATCGTTCACTCAGAATACTGAGAGCATTTTGAATGTAGGAGCACTAACAGAGTTAGAAAAGCTACAAGTTATGCCACTTAATTGGCTAGCACGTCGCATGAGTAGTTCATTGACCGTCATGTTTGAATTTGACCAGAAGACTGCAAGCGTGTTACAGAAGCATCTGTCCATAAGAAAGGCCTCAGGTAGACCTCATCAAATTCCGTATGAGTAACTCAGCTAAAACCTTTGGGTGAACGTCTCTCCCTGAAGGCAATATTTCATTGTTTGGCTTGCAGCACGCCTCGTACATCAGGTTCCTGTAAGTGAAGAACAGTTAAGAGGGAAGTAAGTTGAGACATGTGGATGGTGTGAAGCCAGCAGATATCAATACTTCACCCCGTCTTGCGAATGAAAATGTGAAGTGTTTTGAATGACCATTGGTTAATTCGCATGGATCGAATAGTTTCTGGCTGGTGAAAGGAGAAAAGCGGGAATAAGTCTATTGCTGAAGTTTCGAATAAAGCACACAAAAGTATCAAGACGGCTTGAAGTACTGCAGCACTGCTTCAATACTCTTCGGTTTGTTAGTGAACTACTTGGTGTCACAACATCTCCTGTGATTATCAGTCTTGTGATGTGAAAATGTTACGGGGACAAATGGATGAAGTCCACATGTACCTGACCGAAACAGCCATTTATAGTGCAATAGGAAATACTCCTCACTGCAAGCAAGCGTACCGCCAAGCATACCTAGCAGTTTGACACAAACGTTAACACTAATGTAAGTGTCAAGCTTGG